TGGATTTTTCAAATCATAAAAACACCTGATACAACGGGTGTGGACTAGTCACAGAGCTACGCCGAGCTTGACTGTGCGCACACCTCCTAGGAGAACCAGACTACCAAACAACACCCACAACAAACACACGCACGCACTACCTCGCCACGACTCCAAAAGAGTTGGCGGCGGAACAAAAGGGCCTAACACACGGACGGCTACTGAAGACTGCCTCCTCTACTCCTCGTCGGCCTGGCTGCCTCCTGTGGTCGGCTCCTCAGTCGAAGAAACGTCGATCGGCTGGCGCGAAGGGACTGGCGGAACCTGTCGAGGGCCGGCAGCAGCACGGGCTGCTGGCGGTGGGGGAGCTGGGTGGCGGAAACGGAACACGGTGGAAGAACCAACAACACGCTTCCGCGCAGTGCGGATAAAGCGTGGGCCACGGCGGGAGGAAGCGACTGGAGTGTGTCCGGGGGTGTAGGAAGGGCTAACTGGGTGTGGGTAGGGGGAGTACACTGGTGAGTACGGCGCACGCGAGCTGGGGGAGCGCGGGCCACTGGGTGTGCGGGCAGAGCCGCGGGAGCTGTGGGAGGACAGGTGGCTGGCGTGGCAGAGACGGCCTGAGTCCCAAGAGATAGTGTCAACTGAGGTGACACCCTCCTCGGCCAGACGGGCCTCCAAGGCGGCGTAGCGGCGGGCGAGGGAGCGGTAAGCCTCAAGGAGTAGGTCGTGCTGAGTGGCCTGAGCCTCTGAAAGCTCGACCATGCGAGTCAGCACTGGCTGAGACTCGCTGTACGGACAAGGGTACCTGGCGTCTGAGTGGCCAGAAGGAAGACGTGGAAGCTGCCGGAAGGCGGAGCCTCCGAGACGGTGGCTGTAGTCGTGGGCCAGGCGGCGAAGCGCAGTCCAGGAGAGGTCCTGGTACGCGATCTGGAGAGTGGGCCTGGCCACAGTGAAGTGGTGAGGGCGAAGGCCAACTCCGTGTATACCTCCACGAGGGTAAAGGTACACAGAGAGCTCACAGTGAGGGGGAACACGGTCCACGGAGTACCCCGTGTACTCGGGACACGAGAAGCCAAGGAAACGGGCGAGGTCACGAAGCTGGGCGACGTGGTGACCCTCACCAAAACCGTGGGAACTGAAGCTGGCGTTCACTGCCATCTACAATTTTGAAAGAGGGAGAAAGATCAGTAACCATTTTAGAAACAAACTATTGAAAATAAAGAAAACAGAAGAAACCCTAGCTTTTCGCAAGTAGTTTTGAATCTAGTATCCTTAGGGTCGTCCTAAGCGTCGGGTTTCGCCCTAGGGCCAAGCCTGTGCTCTGATACCATCTCTTGTCACGCCCCAAACCAGTTCCGGCCGGAACTAGCCCGTGACGCTCCAAATTAACCTGTTAATCGATACCAATCCCAGGAAACAGTGCTGGTATCACAGGGAGACAGAATATCATAGCAACAGAGGTCTCTTTATTATAGAGTAGGAGTACAGTCATGTTGGGCTGCGGACAGATCCCGAGCTCACAACTGCATTACAAAAGCGAAACGGAAGCCAGGACTTGGACCAATCATCACAGGCGCGACTTGGGAACTACGCCGAAACCCTAAAACTCATCGTAGCCGGCTTGCTCCTGGAAGAACTCCTCATCAGCAGGATCTGCTTTATCTTCTTCAGCAACTGGGGGGGATATTTATATAGAGCAAGGGTGAGTACGGGAGTACTCAGCAAGCCAGGGGAAAATAAGTGTTTAATGCAGGCTTCAAGGAATGGCTGTTGTTTTTGCAATTGATTTTATTTGAACTCTTTTCTAAAAGCAACTAAGTGAGTGCTTCTCAAACGACACGGATGAGGCAGTGCGTCTCGTCCGGTCGGAGTATGTGCAATGTATCAGTCTTTAGATTTGAACAAGATTGGCACCCGGCCAAAGGCCTTTTAAACGACCACCCGGGCCAACACCTTTCAAACGGCCACCCGGGCCAACAACTTTTCAAACGGCCACCCGGGCCAACAACTTTTCAAACGGCCACCCGGGCCTACAACTTTTTAAACGGCCACCCGGGCCTAGCTGATCCCGTCAGCTGCGGATTCTTTTCAAACATCGAACCCGATTTCACAACAGCAATTTCACAAGCAGTAGTCAAACAAAACTACGCTAGGAATCACCTCACATCCGCCCATGACCGTGGGCACGGCTGTTCGAACAGTTTGTTAACCTCTGCAGAGGGGGTACACTTTACCCACACGACATTACTAACCCGGGTCACCCAGCCCGTGGGGATCAGCCACGTCGGGAGACCTCCAAGCTTTCATGACAAGGCATTTCGAAAGCCGATGCAGGTTTGCCATATGCCGACGAGAGGGGTCCCAGACCAACAACAGGTTAGGTCCCAGACCATACTGTGCCAGGAAGCCCAGGGGTCCTCCCCGACACCACCCCGGCGAATCCACATGTCTCTCGGCATCAAGGCTCCCCTGATAAGCTAGTTACTCAGCCAGGGGTGTCCCATTCCACCCATGTGGTCGTACTGGTCTTATGTTGGGATGAAATTCCAAGGGATCGGTCCTTACGTGCAAGAGCGGGAAACCGTACACCCGATACGTTTCCCGGTCCGCGGTTTTGGAAATTCATTTAGTTCGCAAGCACCGACCCAGGCGTCGGGTTTTCCAAGTCTTTTGTAAAGCTCCAGTTTTACCCAAGTTGTACTCAGATTTTAAGTTTGAAGGCTACCGTCGATACTCGTACAGAGTGCACGAATATCGCGGTACAACTGGGTGGTTACAAGGGACATGGTATAACAATTAACAGAGGGAGGATCAAATGCAATCAATTAGGTAGGTCCACCAATCTGCCTTGCAGATGGGGCAAAAGATTAAGTGTGATCCTATCAATGCATAATATTTTGCAAGCAACATAATTAAATTTCAAATATAGGCTCAAGTTGTTCAAAGGTGGCTTGCCTTGCTCGAGATCTGGAGCTTGATCCTCGAAATCCTCGCACTGCGGGTCTTCGGGCTCCGAAACTACACGCGAAACGGGACAACTCAACAAACGGCGAGAATAAAGCCCTATTAATGACCCCTAAGCGTGCCATTAGATAGATCTCGAGATTTGGGAAATTTTGGAAGTTGAACGGAGTCAAACGGAGTTATGGTTGGAAAGATATTGAATTTCTAAGATTATTGGATTTTTGGTCTAAAGGAAAAAGGATTTAATTAAATCCTTTTTGGAAAAAGGAAAAGGAAATGATGAAGGGAGGGAATCTAGACTTTCCTCGGGCGGCTAGGGCGCGGCCCAAAGGTATTCGGCTCGGTCCGGCCGAGCTAAACGGGCCGGACGGCCCAAAGCGGCCCATTTACGCGCGCGCGCGGGAGAGGAGAGAGAGAGAGCCGGTGGACCGGGCTCACCTCGCGCGGCCCCGGGTGGGACCCGCTTGTCAGCGGCTCGGCCCACCGTGCGGAGGGAGCACGCGGCGCACGCGCGCGGGCGAAAGGGGGAAAGCGGTGCACGCGCGGTTTACGGAGGACTCGGGTGCGGCGGGCCCACGCGCAGCCTCACGGCTTGTGGTGGAATGCGCGCACGGGGAGGGATCGGCCGGGGTCGGCCCGTCCCGAGCTCAGCCGAGCTGGCGCCGACGTGGCACCTACGTGGCGGCCACGTGGGCTGGCAGGAGGTAGACGACGACCGGCCGCAAATGAACGGCGGGCGACGGCGGCGAGCGGTAGAGCGGGCCACGGCGATACCGGCGAAGGCGAGCACGCCGGGCGGTAGTACGGGACGAGAAGAGACGAGCCAACGGCTCGGATTCGCCGGAGGTTGCTTGGCGGCGACGGATTGCGGCGGCGGCAACCGGCGGCGGGAGAAGAGGGAAACGGCGACGAGGCCACGAGAGGTCGATTTCCGGCGGTGAGAGCATCTACAAGGCCACGGGAACTCGATGCTAGGGTTGGATTGGACGGAGCTATGCCGAGCTGGGCTGGCGACGTGCGGCTACTTCGGAGCTCGGGCGGCGACGGCGGCGAGCACATGGCGAGCAACGGCATCGGTCGGGGCGGCGCCGGCCAACTACGGGAGGTCTACTCGAGCTAAAACCGAAGTCTAAGGGGGGGAGACGGAGCGAGGAGGGAGAACGAAGCGAAACATCACCGCGGGAAGGAGAGGCGCTGTGACGAGAGGCCGACGGCGCGGGAGTGATCTCTCCGGCCTCGGGCCGGGGAAGAGGAAGAAGAGGCGCGGCCGGAGTCCTCTTCGGCGTCCTCGCTCGTGCCGGCTCCTCCGACACGCGCGGCGACGATTGGAGACGGCGAAAATAGAGACGGCAGTGGAGGAGGCGAAAATGGGGAGGAAAGGAGAAGGGGAGGCCGGGGGTTTAAGGAGGCGGCAATGTCGGTTTGGGGAACCGACTTGCGCGGTCAAGAGCGCGAGCTGGCGCTCGGCTAGCGGCCAAAGCGGTGGCAGACGGGATGACGCCGGCGGGAGAGGAAAAAGGAGGAAGGGGAAAAGGAGGAGGAGAAAGGAATTCTCTCCTTTGCCGATTCGGGAAAAGGAGGGTGGGCGCGGGGCGACGACGCGGCAGAGGGAGGTGAGGCGCGGCCTCCGGGCCTTGGCGGCTAGCGCGCGGAGTGGCGGGGGCCGGCGATGACGACGGCGGGCGGTTTGGAGCGGAGCGGCGACAGCGGCGACTGGCGCGGGCAGAGCTGACGGCGGCGACGACCGGGCGGTCGGCCACTCGGCTTGTGCGGGCGCGAGGCAACGGGCGACGGCGCGCGGGGGGGGGGGAAAGGCGGGGCGCGGGCGGCTCACGCGCGCACGCGCGCGGCGCGCGGGCAAAGCGGCGGGATCGGGAGAGAGCGAGGGAGCGCGAGGGAGAGAGCGCCCGGGGAGGGAGAGAGAGAGAGAGAGGGGGGGAAATGGGCCGGGGGGGCAAGGTAGACTTTGCGGAGGAATTGATTTGGAAGATTTGGATTCGGAATTTGAACTCGACGATAGATCGGGGATTGAGATCTTGAGATGGCACGGACACTAGACAACAATCAAAGGAACAAATTTCGCAATTAGGGTTTTTGAGAGATAATTTTCCCGCTAGGCGCCACGACGGAACGGGCGCTACATGATCTGTGTGAACTGATCAGCTGATGGGCTTCGCTGCATCTCATCCAGAACGACGACATCGCAGGAGACTGCAAGGGATGGCGCTGCACAGCTCTTTGGCTGCAATTGTGGTGAGAACCAGATCTTCGACGAAGGCATTGCAGTTACCTTGCTACCCTCTTCGGATCGTCCTGTCGCCTGAACCTCACTTCCCAACCGCTAAGCATCACTTCTCGCGACCAGAGCAACCTCGCCCCCTGTTGCCAGCACATCCTTCCCCGTCGCCAGAACGCCATTCTCCGTCGCCAGCACATCTTTCCCCGTCGCCAGAACGTCTCTCCCCGCCACCAGCGCCGTGCTCGTGGCAAGCACACGCGGCACGACATTACACGCAGCATCATCTCCCCTCCCCGCCATCCTATTCCCAGGCTCGCCACTTGAGTGTTCCTCTATCGTATCCCTGTCCGAAGCATGCAGGCCCGAGCCGGCGTGTTCAGTGTGCTCGTCGTCGCGGGCGGTATCCCTCAGCGCGCCGGGGTTGGTAGGGATCATCTCGGACACCCGCTGAACTGAAGATGTCGACCAGGTGCGCCCCGGTAGCCCACCAGCAAAGCCAGATGCTCCGCCAAAAGGCCGACCTCCGCCTTGTTTCGACGTCCACGGCCCTGTGCCGTCGATTCGGCCAGCCCAGCAGGAGAACGTAACCTGGCGCGGGACGTCATCATCATCTTCGTCGTTGGAGGCCGTGGAGAGGGGAACATGGAGGGGCGTCGGGTCAATGATCTCCTCAATGTGCACAATGATATTGTACGTCAGCGTGCACTTGTGCAGAGGCGCCCTTGGAATCCTGATTGATCCCGCCATACGTTCCCAGCACGGCGGGCCGCCCCCCGCGCGCTCTGGGATCTCCACCTCCAGCGTTGTTGGCACCGCAGACGGGTTCTTGAGCCAGGCGAACATGGTGAGAACCCTCGCGTCCGCCGGCGGAACAAGCTCCACCAACTCTCCACCCAGCTCACGGATCAGCTGGGCCATCGCCTCCTCATCCCAGGCGTGCTGGGGAAGCCCTTCTAATGACAGCTTGGTGAAGAATTGGAACCTCGTGCTGCTGGCCAGCAGGCGCCTGTTCCAGCTCTTGAAGGCGATTGGCGCCCCTTGGAAGAAGACTTGTTTGGATTTGCCGAGGACCCAATCCTTTTCTCTGGCAGAACGAAACACAATTAGGTAGTCCTCAGGGGTCGTTACCTCCACCCGGAAGTGCGCGGGGAGGATGCCACAGTCGACGATCACCGCAACCAGATCTCTAGGTGAGAGCGCTGGCTGGTTGCCAAGCACTGTGGCCAGGAGCACCTTCTGCTCGAAGATGGCCTCCGTCTCCACCATGCGCGGCGTCCAGGAGATGGTGCACCGCCCCGACTCCGGCCGGATGTTGGCGTCCCCGGTCCGCCACTCCTTCATGACCCGAGAGGGCTGCTGAGCGCAGATCTGAAAGCTAGCCATGCCATCACCAGCAGCCACTCCCTCTTCTCGCCCCTTCTTTCTGGGAGGCAAAGCTTCTAGCACTTCTTTCCGCGGTTTTTCACCTCCCGCTGGCTTCGTTGCCACTTCTTTTGAACCAGTGGCCGGCTGCGCCCTAGCCGCACGGGAGGTAGGGCAATTCCTAGCGATGTGCCCTGAGTACCAGCAGTTGTAGCATCGCGTGCTTCCTGGGCAGGCGGATTTCTGGTGTCCTAGCCCCAGGCAGTTAAAGCAGCATCCTTGGAGCCAGCGGGGGACTGTTCTTGCCTTCTTGAATGCTGCAGGGCTGGAGGTTGGGGGGGCGTTGGGGCGCCATGAATGCCTCTTGGATCGACGACGAACCTCAGTCTAGGAACCCTGGTCTTCTTCGCCCCGTTGATCCACCGCATTAACTGCGGGACGCGACAGGACGATATCACGCCAGGACGTCCTTCCTAGCTGCGACATGAGAGAGGATGTTGGGAGGTGGTCGCCGGCGTCGGAGTGCCCACCGGCGATTAGATGGTGGTCACCGTCGCCGGAGTGACGACTGGCGATGAGTCTACGGACCTCTCTATCCACCAAGCCACAACCACTTTTCTGCCATCTTCCTGAAAAGGGGAACATGTCCACACTAGTACAATAACAGGCTAACAGTAAGAGTAGATAAAGCAGCAATCTAGCCAAGAACTATTTTGGGGGGGGGGGGGTGTAAAAACTTCATCTGTGTTTTCTATCGTAGAATGACAAAAACGAGAGATAATCTATGAGAGAAGAAAATTCATACACAAACAATCTTGCATTTCACTGAACAACATTACACATGGCACACTGGCAAGATGATGACCAGTAGATTGGACAAGAAGCCACATAGTTTTCCAGCCACAAAATCCACAATGGCCTTTGACAATTGATAGGAGAATCTTGTCCACACAAACACACACACATACTTATGAATTCACACAACCAAATATACAGGGACTGATCCATCATGCACACTGGATATCTTCTTTTATTTGTTCATCACAGCTGGGAATGCTGTTGCATGGTTACAGTCTTCGCCTTGACATTTAGCAGTTGCAGGGGTTGCACTTGCAGCTGGAGCCGCAGCTGCAGCCATGGCCGGCCTCACCGGAGCCGGCAGCCAACTCGAAACCCGCTTCGCTGTGCCTGCAGAAGAAAGAAGCAGAGAAATTCAGACATGGAACAAAAATAAAAAAAAAATCCTGGAATCCGGTTCAAGTCTGAATCTCAGTTAGTACTAATTAAAGATTTTCTTCAGTTCAATTTTTAAGGTGAAATATATGTTACTTTACCCCTTTTCAGGTGCAACACCGAGGACCATGGTCACTGAGGTGGTGGTGGTGTTCTTCTCTGCCAGGTCAGGGTACATCTTTCTGAACCAAATGAAAAAAAAGTAGAACATAAATATATATCTCTACTATTATAAAAATTAAAAATGTTTTTGCCGGTATTTTGGTACGTCATCCGTGTATGAGTTGGTTTTTAAGTTCGTTTGCTTTTAGAAATACATTTATGTATTTAAGCCGGTTTTTAAGACCGTTCATTTTTGGTGATACAAAAGGAATCATATAAGAAATTTGTTTAAAAAACTCGCATGCTAACTTGAGACAATCGAACTCCTAATTACAGCTCATGATTTTCTAAAAAAAATATATCCAAGCGAACTCCTACAGTGAATTTCATCTTAACTAAACCATATAACAATAATAAGATTAAAATAGGCTTCACACGTTGCAACGCACAAGCATTTTTTCTAGTAATGTAAAATAATCTAGAAAAACATATAGTTTTATATGAACATAACTTTGAAGCAATGGAAATAGTATGGTTTTCATCATGAAAATACATTAAAACCAACAAACTAGGTAGCTGCTATCTCTGATAGACTATCTCAGTTTATTTTGACAAATCAGTATTTGAAAAACTATACCCGCAGCCGCCACCGCATCCGCAGCTCGAACCGCAGTTGCAACTTCCACCACACGACATCTTAATCTTCTAAATCTCTTGTAAATTCTTCAGGAAATTATATGCAATGAGGTGTTGAGAACGCTTGAGGTGAGCTCAGTGCAATTGCCCAGCAGAGCACATATGTCCTTTTATTTATAGACTGAACAATATGTCAGGTATAATCATGTCAGGATGATCTAAGCAGGTTGGGAAGGCAATTTGTATGAATTGAAATTCAAATTTTCTTACAGAAAGATGCATTGAATTTGATGAAGTTCTTAGCTGTTCCCATCTTGCTTCAGTACTAAGATGCTGACATTTTTGTTTAAGATAGATGCATTATTGCACAATTTGAAATCGAAAAATTTTCTTGTATGAGCTGGATTCAAATTCCTGGCATAAAACAAGCTGAACTTGATCAAGTTCCCAAAAAGTCAACCTGTACCAGTTCCACGCCTATAACAAATATAGATCCATCCTTGTGCAAATTGAATTTGAATTAGTAAGAGTATGGATAAAACTCAACTTTCATTACCAAAAGAGTAAAGTCCATCACCGGTCCCTAAACTTGTACCGCTGTGTCACCCCGGTACCTAAACTCGCAAATCGACCGTTCAGGTCATCAAACTTGTTCGACTATGTCATCCCGGTCCCTAAACTTGGATTTGAATATCATCTGGGTCATATACGACGGTCTAAAGACTTTATATTTAAAAATAATTCATAACTTTTTCATGTGAACTCTAATGAAGATAAACTTTATATCAAATTTGTAGCCCTCGACACGATCTACAACTTTGTAGTTTATTTTTTTTTATTTTAAGTCATTTTTGTCCCAAAATGTAATTTTAAAATTAAAATTTCAAAATCTATAAACATGCAACAATATTTTGGGACAACAGTTTTAATTCAAAAAATTTTCAACTACAAAGTTGTAGGTCGCGTCGAGGGTTACAATTTTGATATAAAGTTTGTCTTCATTAGAGTTCATATGAAAAAGTTATGAATTATTTTTTGATATAAAGTTTTAGACCGTCCTTTTTAGGGACCGGTGTGACACAACTGAACAAGTTGGAGGACCTAAATAGGTGATCTGCATGTTTAGGGACTGAGATGACACAGTTGAATAAGTTTGAGAAACTGAACAATCGATTTACGAGTTTAGGGACCGGGATGACACAGCGGTACAAGTTTAGGACCGGTGATGGACTTTACTCTTACCAAAACAACACTTCTTCTTGTACGAATTTGATTTAAAAAATTCACGTGCAAATTGAAATATAGAACTGAAGTTTCTTGTACAACCTGAATTCAAATTTGTTTAAGCTACCGGCCAAATCAATCTTGTTCACGTACAGTTGACTTTAGACAAATTGAATATTTGCTCACGTACGTAGCTAGTAGAAATTGAATTTGGACAGGTTCCCTTACGGATTGAATTTAAATCTCTTACGAAAATGGACTTCGTTTGAGTCTGATTAATTTCTTGCCCGATCGAATCAACCCTGCTCCACTACCCATGGTTTTCTTTGACCACCCGCTCCATGCTCCAAAATACATGTATGCGTCATTGCTAAGTCGAATTTTGAACGAGTTCGTGTATGAATTGAAACTGAACTGGAAACATGAAATTCACCTGGAATCGCATTCCGGCCCAGCACGTTACTGGGCATCACGTTCCGGGCTTTCCGGCCCAACTTGAATTGGGCTTACCGGCTTTCACGGTGGTGGCCTTTTTTTTTTTAAAGGGAAAAACGGCATAGACCGTGCCTTTTCATTGAATATAGCATGAAAAAATACAACCCCTAGGGGCGAAAAGGAAGAAACTCAAAGAGCTAGCTATACACTGTACAAGATGTGGCAGGAGCTCACGCAACCTTCTAGCGCCGGCCAGCATCCAGAGCTTGGCCTCCTCTATGATTTTGGTAAGCAGATACGTCGTTGTGGACTCCTTGTGCTCAAAAATCCGCTGATTCTGCTCCTTCCATATCTCCCACACTACAAGGAGGATGAGAGTGCGCCATCCTTATTTGGGAACTCCTGTCGTATTGGCAAGTTTCTCTCACCATTCCTGGACTGACTACGTAGGCTCCCAGTGCCGTGGTTCAAGAAGATGATTACCCACCCATCTGGCCACGGTGGTGGGCTTGACGGCGTCGCCGGAGCAGCGCCTGCGTGAACCTACTCTTGTCCAACTCCGGAGGTCGCCGTCCGCCGGCGTGAACTCCTCCGACGTCCTAATTCCTAAGAAACTTGCCATTTGGAGCTTTATCGGTTGGCCTAATAAGCCAAATCAAAAACCAAAATTTGAACTTTCGAATTTGATTTTGTAGTTGATTTTAAGATATTTTCAACGTAATTTCTTTTTAGTATTGGATTTTGAGTCGCTACGAACAAATGTATAAAAAATTTACCTATGAATTATTTTTTATTTCCTAATAAATCAAAACAGCTTATTAGGAACATGGATAACTGATGAGGCTCTTGGTTTATTAATGGTTAACTGGAACATCGCTAAGTTTTCACGTCTTTCATTTCACTGAAAATTCTCTCATCTAGCATGATACTGTACTACCTTGGAAGGCTCAGCAGCACAGAATCTAGCATGAAAAAAAATTAAAAATAAGTGGGTAACCCGCGAAACCCACTTATAGGCTAAAATAAGACGCGAACCCACTTACACCCATTCAGATTTAGGACACGTTCTAAATAGCTACTCCTCATTTTTCATTAACACACTTTTTAAAGTGCTAAACGGTGTATTAATTTCGTGTGAAAATTTCCTCAGCATGTCCTTCAGAAAAATCAACCAAATCTATTTTCAAATAATTAATAATTAATACTTAATAAATAATATGACAATCATGTTTCTCGTTTTCCGTACAGATAATCAGCTAGAAACAACCGCCGAAAAGAACGCTCCCTTATTCTGCCCATAATCTTGTCAGTCATTTTGCTTAGTACTCCCTCCGTTTCAAAATATTTGACACCATTGACTTTTTAGCACATGTTTGACCGTTCGTCTTATTCAAAAAATTTTGTGAAATATGTAAAATTATATGCTTACATAAAAATATATTTAATAATAAATCAAATGATAGGAAAATAATTAATAATTACTTAAATTTTTTGAATAAGACGAACGGTCAAACATATTTAAAAAATTCAACGCCGTCAAATATTTTGAAACGGAGGGAGTAGTTAAACTTCTGAACTACTAGTACCTTTTGGTAGGTCTTCGCATTAATCGGGAACAATGTGATTTGATTGCATCAGTAAATGGAACTGAAAGAACAAGATATACACAAGTAAACCATAGTATATTTTCAGAACCAAACGCTCAGATGAGATAGTGACACAAACATAATGTAGCCTGAAAACTTCAGGTGCCCCAAATCACAAATGGCCATATCATAGCATCTAAGATTCAGACAAGAACACAAAGGGGACACCTCACAAGATTCACAGTCCACATTAGTACATCAGGATGAACAACAAGCTGACTCACACACACTGGAGCCATTGCACACCAAATGGCTTCTTTATTTACTTGTACAGATCATCAGCATGATAACCTTCCCCTTTAGCAGTTGCAGGGGTTGCACTTGCAGCTGGAGCCACAGCTGCAGCCATGGGCAGCCTCACCAGATTCAGCTGCCTTGCCAACCATCACCTCAAAGTGCCTGCATATCAACAAGGCAAATTCAGAAACGAACAGTTTCAGGCATGGAAAGATGTAGATCACAGCATATTGTTCATGTCTGAAACTCAGGTAGGATTTTTTTTTTCTTCTTCTGTTTACTTTTTGATCGGGGAAAAGATTCAGAGATATCATACCCCTTCTCAGGTGCAACGCCGAGGACAGTGGTTGCAGTAGTGGTGGTGGTGGTGATCTTCTCAGCCAGGTCAGGGTACATCTTTCTGAACCAAGAAAAAAAAACAGAACACTAAATTCAGTAACTAGAAATGACAACTTTTTTTTTTGTCTTATGGATGGCTTCATCTGAATATAACTTCAAATCAATTGTAAGCAGAAACATTGGGGCTAACATAGTATTCTTCTATCATGGAAAGTACATCAAAATCATCAAACCTTGTGACAGTTTATGTTGACAAATACATAGCAAACATATTCAGGATCAGTAGCTGAAGATTGAACGTACCCGCAGCCACCGCCGCATCCGCAGGAACCGCAGTTACAACTTCCACCGCACGACATCTTGATCTTCTGGGTCTCTTGTAAACTCTTCAGGAACTTGTGTAGTTGGATGAAATGAGAGATTGAAAGCTTGATATGAACTCAGTTCAGATATGCCCTCCTATTTATAGTAGTAGTACCCTTGAGAAGAAGCTGCGGAATTATGTCAAAGCATTATCTTGCCAGAAAGATGTAGCTGGTTGAAATGGCCTTGAAAAATCATTATCATTCATTGACGTCAGTTTTCTATATGCATTTCTTGGAGTTTTAAAAAAAGCATATTTGTTTGGGGTGCAATTGTGTCATTCCTAGTTGAATATAGTATTGATAAGTGCCGAAAAATATAAAAATATTGACGATTTTTATGTAGTTGCTTACGCACCACGGTTGCATTATTTTAATTACTGTTAATCTGAACCAAGTTTCTGGGCAAATGTAATCCAAGTTTTGGCCAGGTTCAAATTTGCTTTCACACCATGATGTCAACCTTTGCTTAAGATAGACGAATTGTTGCTCATATTTAAAGCAAACAATCTGAATTTGTATGAACTGGATTTAAACTTTCATCACGAAAAACAGAATTTGATAAAGTTCTTAGCTGTTTCAATCATGCATCAGTACTATGATGCAGACTCTTTGCTTAAGATAGATGCATTAGTGCACAGCTTGAAATTGAATACGTTTCTTGTACGAGTTGAATTCAAATTTCTTGCTTCAACCACGCTGGATTAGATTAAATTCCCCAAAAGTCAAACTTATACCAGTTCCACCCCAAAAGGCACACTCATCATCGTGCAAATGTCAATTTGAATGAGCTAAGAGTATGAATTGAAATATGCAAATTCAGATTTCTTGCAAGAATTGAATTCAATGGTTTACACGAATTGAAATATAAAACTGATGTGTCTTATATTTTTTGAACTTAAGTTTATCATACGCCAAGAATTCAAATCCCTCAAGCTACTGACCAAATCATCCCTCCTTCAAATCCATGGCGCGAGCTACACCAGACACGTACTTAAACTTATCTTGTACACATCGAATTCTATTAACTTGCTGTACGAATTCAATTTAAATTTAATGCATGAGCTAGACTGCATTTGTGTTTGATGATTCTATGACCAAATCAAACCTGCTCTGAACATGTTCATGTATTAACTAAATTTGAAATACGTTGCCTTTAATCAAACAACTAAATACACATCACTGAAGTAGTCGATCGGATCATCTTCTTCACGAATACATATACCTCACTGAATTTGAAGTATTGTTGGGATCGATATCGCACGGCATCGTATCAGGGCACCCGCAATGGTTATCTATAGACTCTCTACAAGAGATCCATGTCAGCATATTTTCCTACTTGGAAGAGATTAAATGAAGAGAGAGCAAAGCTATCTACTAATCTGGAGATAGTCTATAGAGAAAAACGAGGCAATGGATTAGAGAGCTATAGATACCCATGTAGACATACCATTGAAGTGGTTTACTATTAATTTAGTCTATTGCTGAGATGTACATGTTTTATAGATAGCACCTTACTTTACCATTGCGGGTGCTCTCAGGGTTTACAATTTCGGATCTAAATTTTCAAAATTTCGTTATTACCAGTGGGTGTCTGTAGGAGGTTCTTCCGGACGGATTTTTTTTTAATTTAGCACACAAAATCAAATTTAGTAAAAATTTTTTAAGACAACCTCAAAAAAGGATAGGGAGTGCCTATTTTGAGATTTGGCCCAGTTTTTGAGGGGAAACCGGATCCAAAACCCTCACATAAGCACGGTTTGTTGTGGAAAACCAGGCTAAATCCACACGAAGAACAAACTAAAAACTTGCAACGATACAATTGGAGGTTAAAACACAGGTCATCGTTGCCTAGCTCAAAAGAACAGCTCCGACTTCTTATGAACAGACCACAGACAACGTAAGGCAGTGTCTTCAAGACAAAGTCTCCAAGGAGGAAGATAGCATTGAAACGCAAACAACGTCCTCTGAAAATCGGAACAAGGTTTTCACCCGAAGAAACGGGGAGAGCAAAGTAATGATGCCTTCAAGAAGGAAAACGACACCCACAAGCGTCGACATCGTTGACTCTAGCCCAAGATCGAGCAGGACATTCGCGCCAGCTCTCTCTCCCTGCCAACTACGACAACCCTGGCTACCACAGCGCTACCAAGACGAAAGCGGGAGAGGGTTATCTTTGCCAAGCTTGCCACCCTTCAAATTTAGTAATTTTCAATGTTATTCATTTGAAATTTCTGATATTTCGGAATTTTGGTCCCTCTGGTAGGTTTCCTGATGCTAGTGTGAAAAATCAATTAGCAAGGAGGGAGAGACGGGGCGTGTGGGGCGAGGTGGACCTATCATGGATCTGGAGCTGGTCGACCATGGCTGCCATCACCATGCGCATCTTGTCCTCCTCCAGGAGGCCGTCGAGGTCGCCAAGCATGTTCTTGTCCATCGCTGCCACCGCCGGGGGAGGAGGAGGAAGGCTAGGGTTTTGGGGTTCGGGGAGCAGAGGAGAGGAGAGGAGAGGAGTCGAGATCTAAAACTGTCGACGTTTGATGTCTCGACTACGGTATTTGGACAGTATGGGGATCGTCGGTGCTAGGATATATGCGAGACTGAGGTAAAAGAGATGGAGACATGGATTTTTATACAGGTTCGGGTCCCTGAGCGGTCAGGTAATAGCCCTACATCCTGTTGGCCGGAGCCGATGTTGCTTTTTATTCACCATAATCACACCAGTACAATATGTGGGGTAGCCTATCTAACTGTTGTCGACATGGCGGTCTGAAGGTCTGACTCGTAGTCGACAACAGGGTAGCCTTCCTCCTCGAGCTCACGCCCGACGGAATCAGAGACAGTGCTAGATCCCTACGGCCGGCCTCTGAAGGTACCGGATAGGGTCGATCCAGGCGTATCTCTGATGTCGATATCCGGCAGCTTGTTTTGGCGTATGTTGGCTTGTATGTTGTCCCGTGTATTGTGTTGATTGTCTCGTCATGGTGGGTGTTGATCGTGTTGATCGTCTCATCATGGTTGTCCCCCTGTCCTCCTAGGGGGGCTTGTATTTATACCCATAGGTGTCCCCTTGTCCAAGTAGAACTAGGGAAACCAATATGGATACAATCCGAGTAGTCCTTGTCGTTTCCATGTAGAACTCTGGTTGTCTTTCCTTATCCGGAACTCCCTCGAGGTCAGTTTCCGTATAAGACATAGTATGTGGTGGGTCCTACCGAGATTTAGTCAACTACTATTAGGTATGTGCTATCCATAACCATGACAAAAACCTTGGGAAAGAAATTCCTTTTATTTTCTTTTGGGAAAAGTCCACTTTGAGTCCCTTAAAAGTAGGCCAAATCTAATTCGTACCCCTCAACTAGAAACCATATAGGACGACTCCCCGAACTATTGAAACCAGTTCAATTTGACTCCTACAGCAGTTTTGGAGGGCGGTTTTGCATATGTAGCGCTGACGTTGCGGTGTTGACCTGGTCTTCATCCCACGTGGTGCTTATGTGGCATTAGAATTGAAAAAATTCTGTGGGACCCATCTGTCATTCATACACAAAATATATTTGGGACCCACATGTAGTTTTTACATCGCCGTGTCAGCAAAACTGTCGTCCAAACCCGCTGAGGGAGTCAAATTGCACTAGTTTGAACAGTTCGGGGAGTCATCCTATCCGGTTTTACGGTTGAGGGTCACAGAATATATTCGGGTTTCTTTTAAGGGAATCAAAGTGGACTTATTCCTTTTTCTTTTGGAAAAAGTGCACTGAAGGTCCCTCAACTTGTCATCGGGATATAAAATCGTCCTTGAACCGCAAAACCAGATATGCAGGGTTCCTTAACTATATAAAACCGGTCACCCGAGGTCCTTCGGTGGTTTTGACCCCGGTTTTAGTCTACGTGGCAGATGAGTCAGCGTGGACCCATGTGGGCCCCACGTGTCAGGTGTCCACGTCACCCTCTCTCTTTCCCCTCTTCTCTCCCTTCCTCATCTCTCTCTCTCACACTTCTGGGCAAGCTGGCCGGGATGAGGCGGGAGGGCGGCGCCACGACGGCCGCCGGCGGAGGCGGCGTACGAGCGCGGTGTGGCCGGTGTGGTGACTGTGGCCGGCCGGAAGGATGGTGACGGTGGTGGTGGTGGAGGGGGAAGCAGCGGGGGGAGTTCTTGGAGCTCTGGATGGGGGTGGGGCTGGGGCACTGACAACAGCGGTGGCGGGAGCATTGGCGGCGGAGGAGGTGGGGGAGGCGATGGCGGTGGCGGTGGTAGCGGTGGAAGAAGGTGCTGGTGGGGATGCGGCAATGGTAGACGGCGCCACAAAGGTGGCAAAGAAGGCGGCGGCGGCGGCGAGGGCGGAGCGGGAAAAGGACGGCGATGGCAGCGGTGGCGTGGGGATGAGGAGCGCGCGGCGGGGGAGGAGGTACGGGCAGCGACCGAGCTACAACTCGAGTCTGTACTGGGTGGGGTAGTACGCGCGGTGCACGGCGGCGGGTACGTCGCGCTCGCACGCCGCCTCCGCCGGCGGCCATCGCGACGCCGCCCTCCCGCCTCACCCGGGCCGTCGCGGCGACGCGGCTGGACCGGCAGTGGACTACCTCGACATGGAGGCGCAGCTACTGAGGAGGTTCCCGGAGTGGGAGGGGAACGGTGTCGCCGACGTGCCGTTCGAGAATTGCACACACCTATCTGCGTCGCGTTGGGCTCGTTATGGAGAGGGACAAGAGCAACGCGTGCAGGGACAGGAGCTCCGACTCCGGCAGCGATGGCAACTCGCTGTGTGGAGATGACAGCGTCAGCGGCGGGTCCAGCACGACGACGACAGCGACGGACGCGTCGGCGTCGGCGTCGAGCCGGCCGCTGCTTGACCGGAGAGGCGGCACGAGGTCGTCGCCGCCGCCAAGGCAGGCAAGTGTCGCAGCGGCATTGTTACTCTTACTCGTCTAAAGCCTTCCAAGATTACAGCTAACTCCATGTCCATGACGTGTGCAGGGCCACCGCAGAAGTCGAGATTGATGGGCACGGTGAGGCCGCCGCTCCGCTCCGCCAGCCGTCGCCGCTGCCGCCTTGCTCCCCTGCCGAGAGAGCCTCGGAGAGAAGAGTAATCGAGAGAGAGAGAGATGAGGAAGGGAGAGAAGAAGGGAAAGAGAGAGAGAGACGTGGACACGCTGACATGTGGGGTCCACATGGATCTCATGCTGACTCATCCGCCACATAGGCTAAAACCGGATCAAAACCGGGACCTTTTATGACCAGTTTTAATTAGTTAAGGGATATGAAATATCTGGTTTTACGGTTTGAGGACGATTTTGTATCTCGATGACAAGTTGAGGGCCCTTGGGTGTACTTTTTCCTTTCCTTTTTGATGTAATTTAATGGGCTTGTTTTAATTGGAGGGCCCTATGGGCTTCGAAATTAAGCCCAGTATCAGAGTTTGAGGCCCATTTGGGATGGAATTCCACAAGGTTGTGTATAACTCAATGAATTATTGCAAACCAAAAAAAAAGAAAAATTAATATCGTAGAATGGTGAGAGTTTTTTTTGATAATGGAATAGTCATCCCGGCCTTTGCTCAAAGAGAGCTACATCCCATTATTACAATTTAGCACTCTAAAACGAGTGTAGTTCAGAAATGATAGAAAAAATGACCACACAAAGGTAAATTTAACCAAAACAAGATCAGAAGAACACATTATTGAAGTCTATTTGTAAATTTTCATCCATAATTGGCAAAAAGCTGCATAACCGTCGTCTCAAGCTTACAACATGCAGCTTTTAAAAGCTCACCGTCTTCATCACACCTTTGTAGTTGTGCCCAAAACCGGAGCTAATAGGTTGCCCTGAAAATTTCCTGCATATATGTAACATATGGTGATTTGTTAAAAACCATATCATTCCTACACAACCATAGAGCCCAACAAATTGCAGAAGCTCTCACCAATATTAATTTACTCTTTTTCTTATCCACCCCCAACAGCCACCCATAAAAAATATGAGATATGTTAATAGGGGGGTATAGACCAAAAGAGAATTGTACAGTCTCCATAAAAACTTTGCATGATGACAATCCATAAAAAGATGTTGTATTGACTAATTCTTCATACAGAAACAACATCTTAAGCTAACATTCCAATTCCGTCTTGCTAAATTATCCTTAGTCAACACTACCCCTTTAAGCAGGTACCACCTAAAAACCTTAATCTTAAGTGACATCTTAAGCTTCTAAATTATCTTATTTCTTTCAATATAACCATTATAAATCAAAGCTAGATACATTGACCTTACAGAGAACCGTCCATTCTGATTAAAGTTCCATGAAAAACAATCAGAAGAGTAAAATTCATAGACAAACCAATATTTATATTTCACAGAGTAAGAGTAAAATTCATAGACAAACCAATATTTATATTTCACAAACAACATTTACATAAAGCCAGAAACCACATTGATTTCCAGCCACGGACTTTTGACACCTGATTCGCACATGGTTGAGACAAACACACACACACACAGGCATGAGCCATCACACTGGATGGACTCTTTATTTATTCATCATGTAGACAGGCTGGTGCATTGGCAATTCAGTCATAGATCATCTTGGCCTTAGCAGTTGCAGGGGTTGCACTTGCAGCTGGAGCCACAGCTGCAGCCATGGGCAGCCTCACCAGACTCACCTGCCTTGCCAACCATCACCTCAAAATGCCTGCAAAGAAACAAGCCAAATTCAGCAAATAAGAGTTTCAGGCATGAAGCTCAATCAGGATTTTCTTCTGGTTAGCTTTTCTGGGCAAAGATTCTTCGATATCATTCATACCCCTTCTCAGGTGCAACACCGAGGACAGTGGTTGCAGTAGTGATGGTGGTGTTGATCTTCTCAGCCAGGTCAGGGTACATCTTTCTGAACCAAGAAAAACATAGTAGAAACAATGAAATTCAGTAACCAGAAATGAAAAATCTCTTGTCCTCTTATGGATGGCTTCATCTGAATATAACTTCAGATAAATGGGGAAGCAGAAACATAGGAGCAGCAATAGTATGATTTTCAACATGCGAAACATACCAAAATCACTCAAAATAAATGGGTGCTATCTCTGAAAGTTTGTGTCAGTTTAGCTTGAATGACCATGTATATAGGCAACATATTTTCAGATTCAGAATCAGTAACTGAAGCCTGAAGAGCATACATACCCACAGCCACCGCCGCAGCCGCAAGAACCGCAGTTGCAACTTCCACCGCACGACATCTTGATCTTCTGGGTCTCTTGTAAACTCTTCAGGAACTTGTATGCAATGAGAGATTGAAAGCTTGATATGAACTCAGTGCAGATATAACCCCCCCTATTTATAGTAGCATAGCTACACAAATTATATCAAGCATTATCTTGCCAGAATGTCGTTGACGTCAGATTTCTGTAACGGCAATTTGTTTGGCTTGCAATTGTATCATTTCTCATTGAACCTTAGTACTATACACATTGATGACATGACAATATGACATAAGTACCCAAAAAAATATACTTTCTCCGTTTCAGGTTATAAAACTTTCTAGCATTGTCCACATCCATATAGATGTTAATTAATCCAAGCACACATATATGTCTAGATTCATTAACATATATATAAATATGGATAATGCTAGAAAGTCTTATAATCTGAAATGAAGGTAGTAATAATTACGATTTTTATATAGTTTTTTTTCGCCGGGTTGGCAAAGAAAGCCGACCCAAGTGTATTAAGATTAGAGGAAAATTGTCAGGATTACAACAGTCCTAGCAACCAGTGATTTTTATATAGTTGGTTGCGTGCAAAGGTTGCACTGTTCTAATTACCAATCGAACAAAGTTTCTGGAAAAATGAGATCCAAGTTTGCGTCTAATTCAAATTTGCTTCCATACCGTGATGTCAAACCCTATGCTTAAAGTAGATGCATTATTGCTCATATTTAAATCGATTATTTTTAATGCGTTTCTTGTATGAACTGGATTTAAACTTCGATCACAAAAAAACTTTGAATTTGATCAAGTTCTTAGCTGTTTCAATCTTGCATGAGTACTATATGATGCAGACGTACTACTCTTTGCTTAAGATACGTGCATTATTGCACAGCTTGAAATTGAATATGTTTCTTGTATGAGTTGAATTCAAGTTTCTTGCATGAATCATGCTGGATTTGATTCAGTTCCCAAAAAGTCAAATCTATACCAGACAATCATCATCGTGCAAATATCAATTTGAATGGTTTGTTAAGACTATGAGTTGAAATATGCAATTCCTCTTGTACGAATTGGATTGATAGAGGTCCTACACGAAATGAAATATAAACTGATGTTTCTTGTATTTTTGAACTCAAGTTAATTTATCGTACGACCAGAATTCAAATCCCTTAATTAATCTACTGAGCACTTGAGCAGGTCACTCTTCCTTTAAACCCACGTCGCCCAGCCAGCCACTACGTAAAAAAATGTTGTACACATTAAATTTGAACAACTTGCTGCACGAATTCAATTTAAATTCCTATCACGAACTGGGCAGGATTTTGAGTTTGATAGTTCAATGCCCAGATCAAACCTGCTCATCTACACATGGAGCATATATATGTTAAAATAGTTTTTGGTGCAGGTGTAAATTCACGTAAGCACACCATTAAAGCCTTAAATTAAAAGTAACTTGCTATACAAGAGATGATGTAAAATTTGAAAAGTAAACAGTCAATTTTGTTCGTGAGATATGAAACTTATAAAAAAAAAAGAAGAGGATTTCATATACCTCAAACAAAATTATATAGGGCTATTACATGGTTGCATTTTATCACCTCCTACGTACACATGTGAGTCCTTTTGGGTGAATTTCACCCACTTTACAACGTGTTTTACATGGAATAACAGCCGTAGCTTCTAGGGAGGGCTTCAAAACATACTTCCTCCGTTTCACAATGTAAGTCATTTTAGCATTTCCCACATTCATATTGGTGCTAATGAATCTAGATAGATATATATGTCTAGATTCATTAGCACCAATATAAATTTGAGAAATGCTAGAATGACTTACATTGTGAAACAGAGAGAGTATTAAACAACCTTACAAATCATAGCTTGGTAACTCGGACAAGGCTCTCTAGAAAGCCAAAGAGTCAAGAGAGAAATTTGAGTTATGGAAAGGAGAGAAGAGTGTGAGGGTGAAGGAGACAAAACTTGTATTAAAGTGGGGGAATAGCTTCATATAATTCTAACATCGATATTGTAAGCTAAGTAAGAATCCTGCTACCCACATAAAAACTCGTTACATAGTATATTTTGCACTTGTTAGCATAAATTTAGAAGAAAACAATAACAAAATTGTTTTTTTATATTTTTAGATTGCATGGCAGACGAACACGCACACACATAACTACACACGCAACACCACACTCACACCCCGTGAATGCGTCCCCTAACACATGCTCCAAGAGACGGAAACAGTGGAGTGAAAAAAAAACGCTTGCCCATCCCACTTGCATCCCACTTATTCTCTATGTGTAATGTTTATATAGGGAACATATCCTATGCATACAAGCTTTACATACACACTCCATGCGCACCAACTAGGAAATGTTACGTAAAATTTTATAAAAAATTTAGACATTTACTCATAATAGTATTATACATATCCGTAAAGTCTAATATTCAAATTTATTATATTTTAGCTGTAACAAAAAAAAGTGAAAAATCTGACAGTTTTAGCAGCAAAAATTTGTCAGAAGTTTATCTTTTCTTTGTTACGGCTAAAATATAATAAATTTAAGATAAGATTCACAAGTATGTGTAATACTCATTGGAAGTATGTGTCTAATTTTTTCCTAGAATTTGATGTGATATTTGATAATTGGTGTGCACGGAAATATCATTGGTCTACACATCCCACATGTCGCCAATGTAACGGCTGTTGGCTCGACGCGCACGCTTGGGCCTTTCCGGTGTCGCCATCATCGTCGCCGCCGTCTCCCCCGCCATCGCCGTCGCCGCCGCTGTCTTGTTAATGGGCCTCGCGGCAGTAACCCGGACAAGGCTCTCCGTGTAGGGGATCACCATGAACGCGTAGGGCTCTCCCGGGAAACTCCATTCAAATTCGAACTCATCCATTCGCGCCACTTCTCTGACACTCTCCTCGCCACCACCCGAGTCATGGTGGTACAGGTGTACACCCTTCTGAAGAAGCAGTCGATCATGGCGGCGAAGCACCCCCAATGGCAGGTACATGGCGTCCGGCCCCGACACGGCGATGCTGAACCGCTGCTCCCATTGCCACCGATCATCGCCGCCGCCGCCGCCGCCATTGTTGCTGTACAGCCAGAGCTCTTGCCGACCTGACACGAGCAGCCCGAGGCACAGCTCGCCGTCGAGCTCGGACAGCAATGGCGGTGGTGGTGGTGGCGGCTCTCCGTTCTGATCGGCCGATGGTAGATGAGATGGTGGCCGTGGATGGTGGACGACGGTGAACGTTTCGTGAGCTAGATTGAAGCGGAGGAGGAGGAAGCTGCCCGCCGCCGCCGCCGCCGGCGATCGTCGGAGTTGGAGTTTCCAGAAGAGGTTTCCGCGGGAGTGGATGGCGGTTCGCACGTGGCAGACCGGGTACGACGGCGGCGGCGGCGTCGTCGTCTCCCTCCAGGCGGCGGCGTCGCCGTGGCCGATCGTGAACACCTCCATGACAGCGGCGCCGTCGTCTTCGGCGGCGGCGGCGGCGGCGGCGGTGGAGAGGTGGATGTAGCGAGCGACCTTGTAGGTGTTTGTGCGAGTGTCAAGGCCCAGCCCGGTCGAGTGGTCGGCGGCGGCGGCGACACGGCTGCTTTGAGGCAGCGTGAGGACGTCGCCGGTGGCCGGGTTGATGACGTGGACGTCGTCGCCGTTGGGGAGCAGCACGAGGCCGTCGCAGGTGCGGGGCAGCGACAGGGTGGGCTCCTCGCCGCCGTCGCCGAACACCGACACGTGCACGAGCTGCGGGGCGCCGTCGCCGCCGTCGTCCGGCCACCGGAGGCGATAGAAGGGGACGTGGTTGGAGAAGGCGAGCCGCCTCTCGGCGTCCTCCACCAACGCGTACAGGAGGAGGAGGAAGGAGGAGGAGTGCTCCTTCTTGCGGCGGCGGCGGAGGAAGGAGGAGGGGTCGCCGGAGATGGCGGCGCGCCACGCGCCGCAGACGGAGGCGAACCGCGCGAGGGACCTCGCCGGCAGCCGGGTGAGGATCTCGTCGGCGACGAGGTCATCCGGCAAGCGACGGAGACATGTCCCGGGCTCCGTCGCTACCGTCTCCATTGTCGTTAGCCGTCGACGCGTATAAAAAAAAAATCAGTCGGTCACCGAAAAAAACGCTACTAGTCGTTCGGGCTTCACGGTGGTGTGGCTTTTCCTTCTCTTGTGAATATTATTGTTGATGATGTTTCTGCTTGTGATCTTACGCATGGTGCGTTCTTCAATTCGGTTCAGGGGGATTCAAGAATTTTAATCAAAGACGTGTAAGAACATCCAGTGATCGATCGTCTCTATACCGAAACGGATTGGATCCTACTCCGTGTTGGGATCTCTCCATCTCCCTCCCCTCGGCGTAAGGTAAGGGTGGGCCGGGCCGGGCTGGCTTCGCCTCCTCCATTGGCGATTTGTCGTGCAGGCTGCGAGCCCGCCTCTAACTACATACACCACGGCACTAATTAGGAAATATTATCTTTTTTTAAAAGAATGTATGACACCGTTGATTTTTCTGCAATCTTCGATTATTTGTTTTATTCGAAAATTTACTACAAATATATAAATATGTAAAAGTATAAGTATTTTATTTGATGATAAAATAAGTCACAACAAAATAAATAATATAATAATCTTAACTTATAATTTTATATATTTATTTTAAACTTTTTAATAAGACAAATTGTCAAACGTTATGCGAAGAGTTAGCGGTGTCGTACATTTTGAAATGGAAGGAGTATATTAGTTTGGGCTTGAAAGTTCGATTATTGTGCTGTGCTGCTTATTAACGTTTAACAGAAACATCCTCCAAACCTTACAATTTTCTATATTGTTCAATTGCCTTGTGATTCGTACGCCACCTTATCTTCTTCCTCTCCTCTCTAGCTAAGTCCGACAGCACCGCCCCATGGCCTCGCCGACATCGACAAGGTCAGCTAGACATCCTTCTCCCCGCCCCTCCTACTCCTCAAGCCAACTGTACCAAGGTGCCCCCGTCTCCTAATTAACCACTCACTTAGATTTGCCTCCAGCCTCCAGCTGCCCATGGGCCACTTGTTCAACCTACCATGGTCGTCCCTCGAAAGCCACACTTACCACCTCTCCCCCAAGGCCCCAACTCAACCGCCTCTAAACTCTGGAACACCAATCCGTGCGTAGTTTATCGGAGTTTGGATATCGCCGGTGAGGAGGCTCGCAAAAAGAAGTCATCGTTACTGGTCATGAGTCCGTCACCTCAATTTCTTTCTCGCGTTTCTTCGTGTCTCCCCTAGTCCAAGGTTTAAGAATAATATATCGGACCATTTGATTATAATCGAACAGATAGGTGGTAGAAATTTTATCAAAAAAAAATGCATGAATTGGGTTCAAATTCTCTTAGGTGCAGTTGTTAGCTGCTTCCGTCACGCCGATGATAGATGCACTATTGCATTCCTTGAAATTTAACGGTTTCTCGTGTGAATTGGAGTCAAATCTTTGACACAAAACGTGTGAGATGGAGCCAAATTTAGCTTGATTAAGTTCCCAACATGACAGGCAACCAGATTTGGTGAATATTGCTGTGTTTAGTTCCACGCCAAAATTGAAAGTTTGAAGAAATTGGAATGATGTGACGAAGTTAAAAGTTTGTGTGTGTAGAAAAATTCGATGTGATGGAAAAGTTGGAATCTAAACAGGGAACCTGCTAACACATTACTAATCGAGTATTTTTGAGCCTGACGTGACAAGTAGTGCGAGCTAGCCTGACCTAGCTCCTCGTCGTCAAAGCACGAAGAAATTTGCAGATCACTGCCGTTTCACACTCCGATCATGTGGGCGGCTTACACGCAGGAATTAGACATGCATGCAGCATCAACACCAGATAAGTAATTAGCTGGAAGCATGGTCACTAGTCACACGCTTCACGCGCGCGGCTAGCTTATTAGCAAGTGAAACGTGTCTCCGTGGCCACCACACACACACACTTGTTCACTTTGACTTCCTAACTGGTTAAGCAGATCTGCCAATACTTCTATCAGCGAAAATTGGTCGGTTTTCCTGAAAAATGAGCTTTCCAGGTCGGTTCAGGAATACAAACCGCTCGATTTTTCAGTCAAGTCTAAATTAAACCATGTTTATTTTGTAAAGAAAGTAGCCAATAGTTCACATGTAAACCGAACAAACCATCTATCTGTTTTTGTTTTTTTAGTAGTTGGGTTTTGTGAATCCTCTTGCAACTTACAAACCTAATTTCGCCGATATTAAAATTGAACTCCATGTTACAATCATGTTAAAGATTGAAGAAAAATAGTTTTCCTATTTAGAATTTATTAATTTTGGGTGATGCATATTAAAGACCTACAAAGTCGAATGATTCCATGGCTCTCTCTCTTTACCAACCAATCACCATTATATAGTGGTAGAGCTAGAAATATCGTGGAACCCAAATATTTGGGAGATTCTATTGGTTGTATTTTTTTTAAGTTAAGCCTACGGAGCTATCCAAAACCTCACCTCTGGTTGTGGCTTCGCCGCTACCCTCGTCCTGATCCCCATCTCCTTATCCCGTCATGGTCAAGTTCATCTAGTTAGCATCAAACACTTCACCGAGCTAGAGAGATAGATGAGTTGACATCTAAGACTGTCACAAAATTTTCGGTTGCATGTACAAATCACCAAGTTCAAAGTCAAAAAAGCAAAAGGTCAAAAGCCAAGTTCATTTGAATTTCCACCTGGCACGCCGGTTGGGCTAGCTGGCCTTGGTAGCCACCAACCCAAGCATGCACAAACACTCCTTTAATTTGCTTTTTATCTGTCTCAAATCACGAGAATCCTCTCTCACACAATTTCACACGCTATCAATTAATCATACTATCAAGATGAAACTAGCTAATTAAGCTGTTGTGTCAACGTCGCCTCATATACCTAACAAATAAAGCCTTAATTGATTAACCGTGTAACATCTTCCTCACGCACCGATTGTCCTACACCACTCAGCCGTGGTACAGATGGCACTGATTTTTGGATGACATGGTTTTTGCTGCAAATATCATTTGGATTCGTCGAATGATAATCATGGCGATAGATTAAGACGCGATGAACCAACCAAACACAGACACACATACAAACAGCAATAATTTACCATCTCCTTCCTAAAAATGTATAACGCCGTTGATTTTTCACACAACGTTTAACAATTCGTTTTTATTTAAAATTTAGTATAAAATATGTAAAAATATAAGTTAAATTATATTTTATTTGATGATAAACGATAAAATAAACAAAATTTATACATATTTTTTTTAAAAAATATAAATGATCAGATATTATATGAAAAATAAACAGAGTTATATATTTCAAAATAGAGGGAATATATATAATATAGATTGATTTTGATGTAATTGTTTTCTGACTATATATCGTCACTTACATGTGGGCCCTCCTCGGAGGCAGAAAGAATCTGTTGACTGGTTACATCATCAGTAAGTGGTAGGAAACTATAGTACGAGTGTCACAAGCGCAAAATAGTCTACAGCTCCACATTAATGACACAATTAACACCCTCACATGTCCGTGCCTAACAGCCATCACACACGTGGCACCCTCTCTCTTTTTTGCCCTTCCCATTCTGAGGCTGCCATGTGGGCCCCACCTGCGTCGCCACGTCAGCGTGCTCGTGAACCCGAGGGCCGAGGCGGCGACCTATATAATTTCAGGTGGTGGAGAAGGTGTGCGAGAGTGTGGGTCGGTCGCGATGCCGTCGTCGTCATCGCCGGCGGCGGCGGCGGCGGGGGAGGGATCAGGCAGGAAGAAGGCGGCGGGGCGCCGGCTGGCCGGCGTGATGCTGCTGCTCCGGCTGGCGTCGCTGTGCTTCGCGGTGGCCGCGGCCGCGTTCGCCGCGACGGACGGCGCTGCGCTCCGGGCCGCGCCGTTCAGGTTCCTGCTCGCTGCGAACGCCATCGTGGCGGTTTACTCGGCGTTCGAGGTCGCCGCGGCGGCGTGGGAGGTGGCCGGCGGCGCCACGCTCCTTCCCGAGGCCATGCAGCTCTGGTTCGACTTCGGCCACGACCAAGTAGGTGTCTCTTCTTCTTCTTCTTCTTCTTCTTCTTCTTCTTCTTCTTCTTCTCCGGTAGCTAGCTAGCTAGCTCGCAATCGCCATGGAATTGATGAACTGGATGTGCGCGCGTGCAGGGGTTCGGGTACATGGCGCTGGCGGCTGCGGCGGCGGCGGCGCGGGAGGCGGCGACGTGCGGATCACACGGCGGCGGCACGGCGTGCGTGCAGGGGGACATCGCGGTGGGGCTCGGGTTCGCGGGGTTCGCGGCGGTGGCGGCGGCGGCGGCGGCGTCGGGGTACCGCCTCGCCTGCTTCCTCGCCACCGGCTCGCGCTCGCCGGCCTCACCGTCCTCCTCCCCCTACTGACCAATTCAGTGTACTCCGGTCGCCGGAACAAACACCTCTCGGGCATGAAAATCTGCAGTGTCATGCTCGCCTCGAGCTAGCTAAGCTAGCTTGGACCTTGGATAGCTCTAGCTGCTTAATTAATTAGCGGCCTAGCCTTAATTAATTACAGTATGTGTTAAGCTGCATGCAAATCGATTAGATATATAGTATCAGAGTGCTATGTGTATTTTGTGTGAGTGCTGCTGTTGCAAGTTGCACGAGAAGAGAACTAGCAAAAGAAATCGAAGAAAATGAGAAGCTTATTAATTAATTATATTATATGCAGCAATCTCAAACAAAACGACCGATATCATCAATTCGATTTATACGTGTGTAACGGTGTGCGCGCATGTGTAATTATAAGAATGAGTAAAGTGTATGAAAGGATATTCAACTTGTTTAATTAGGTGTGTCATATTGGTCACCTACTTTTAAAATACGTATTAATGTGAGTTTGAGTGAGTTCTATTCTTGTCTAAGGCTAAGTACACCTCCCTTGTTTTTCACACATACGCTTTCTGATACATTTTTTTAAAAAATAATATATAAAATTTGCTTTAAAATACCATATTAATCCATTTATCAGAAAAAAAAATAAATATTTAATTAATTATATGCTAATGACTCGCTCTCTTTTGTATGCGCGAGGAATTAGTTCTCAACTTCACCATTTGAACACAAACTAACCATTCACACGAGTATATCTTACACATGGCATGCTACCTATGATTGCAAGATATACTCATGCACACATTACAAAGTGATTGCAAGATCTAACAATGTAATTGAGTGGAATAAAAACATGGAGGAGATGAAAGCTGCTAGGGTTTGATGGTAAGGGAGAGAGGGTGGATAACTAAAACTCATCAAAACTGACTTGGTTTCACTAATCTTGTGTATTGCTAATTGTTAGTATCATGAGAAAAGGAAAAATACACAGGGGATTTTCTGTACATTTCTAGCTAGATGTGATTTTTTTTTCAATCCTACGTAACTTGTCATGTGTACAAGGTACTCCCTCCGCTTCACAACATAATTTATTCTAGCATTTCCCACATTCATATTGATGTTAATGAATCTAGATCTAGATTCATTAACATCAATATGAATGTGGGAAATGCTAAAATGAATTATATAGATTCATTAACATCAATATGAATGTGGGAAATGCTAGAATGAATTACATTGTGAAACGGAGAAAGTATGTTTTCTATATATAGTTAGATAGGTAAATGACTAACTTAATTCACATTACTGATCTAAACATGTATCTTTAAAGAAAAATGACCTATGTCACACCTAAATAAGTTGAATGATCTACTCTGTAAAAATCATAAAAGAGAAAAGAAAAGGTAAAAATGCTCGTAAAATGGCCGTCGACGACGAACTGGACATACGGACGGGCGGGGCGTGTGCGACTGCAAAGTGCAACAAAAATTGCGGCCCGGCCAGGCATGTGGGGTGGGCTGGGCTTTCGGCCCATGTTAATATGGGCCGAAGTGGGCCAGGTTTGATGGGCTGGAGCGACATAAAGGTTTGATGGCCTAGCTGGAAACGCGGTTTGAGCTGCTGCACTTGTTTCGGGCGATTCTTCCTCGTTGGAACAAAAAAAAAAAAGAAAAAAGAAAAAAAGAGAGAAGCCCGGAAACCGTCCAAGTCCATGCTCCGTCACGCACGGCTGGATCATGGAGCGCGGCTAGAATTATTGGTCATGGGTTCCTCATAAGTTTTAAATTTTGTATTAAAGTAGATGGTCGATTTATTCTTTAATTTCTGTCTCTTTTATATTAGTGCCGAGCACGGTATTGCAAGATCAACTATTCACTCAATAATTATAGACATTAAGATTTTAAAAATGATGTGAACTAAAAATACGGTGACAATAGCATTTCAAAGTATACAAAATTATGGGGAGGTTAGTCCTTACTTGCCTCCTCTGTCTTGGAAAAATAATCCAATATCATATTTTTATGTATATTTTTATTATTTGAGTTATTTTGAAATATAAAGAATATTGTTTTGTCCATTGCGAAGTAGTCTACTAGTCTTATTTTTTTACTTATCCATTAAGATTTCACCTGACATGACATCTCGAGTGGGTAAAACAATTTAAGCACTCAAAATAGACAATTTTGAAAGTTAGAGACTAAATCAATACTTCATTCGTCCCATGATATTTTTTTTCTAGCATTTAAAAGTTGTCCCAAAATAGTTGTCATTTTAAAGTACTAATTGTCACATCAACCATCTCCAATTTAAATTTCTCCCCATTCTACCTCCAACCAACATCCCACATCGAACCATGCATTATTTATGAAAGGTAATTATAGTCCTTTTCTTATAACATTAATATATGCTAAACAATCTAGAATGACAAGTATTCTGGGACAGAGGTAATATTCACCCAAAAAATAAAAAAATAATTAGACATTCTCCTTGATTTTTTTTAGATAATGATTCTCCTCGTATTTGAGAAATTTAAACATATGAAAAAGAAAATTTAGACATATCAATGAAATGCTGTTGATCAAGTTTCTAAAAAACAGATAAAAATTTATCAAAAGGCAAAGCAGTAACCGATGGAAACTGCAGTTAAAATCCGACTTGACTGCTATAAACTGATGACTCGTCGAAAAGCAAAAACTCGGTAGCGTCCAATTCCAAACAAACCCAAAAAACCAAACGAGAAGGAAAAAAAAACCGCCCACCCAATCGAAAACCCTCCTCCCAACCACCCACGCCGTCCGATCCCCATCCGACGGCTCACATCCCCCCAACCCCCGCGCCGTGACGTGGCCCCCACCACACCAAGATGCCACCTTTTTTTCCCTTTTCTTTTTCCCCGCATTATTTGATTTCCTCTCTCTCTCTCTCTCTCTCTCCTCTCTCGCTTCCTCCTCCTCCTCTTCGCCGCCGCCGCCGCGCGCCGCCGATCGGGCCAGCGGCAGGGGGGCCACCCGCGCGCGGAGAAGGAGGCTCCGGCTGTCGACGTCTGCTGCGGCGGGCGCGCGGCTTCACCGCTGCGGTTTCTCTCTCCCCCCGCACACCCCCCCGCGACGTAAGTGAGGTCAAAACCCTAGTCTCCTCCTCCATCTCCGTCCCGCGGCTGGATCTGGGGCCCGGTCCCGATCTGATCGGGATCTTCGGCTCCGATCTCCGTCCCGCGGTTTGCCCGCCTCCCGATTCGTCGGTGGATTTGGGTGGGGGGCGCGCGCGCGCTTTGCTCGGTTTTTTTGTGTGACTATGCGATCGGTTTCGGGAGCGGGGTTGCTAGATCTGAGCGGAGTACTCGTGTGAGAGCTCGTGTAGTTGGCGATTCCTCCGCGTGGGAAGCTTAGATTCGTTGTGTGGTCTAGTCGCGTCTCGCAGATTCGATCGAACGCTACGATGAATTCGTGTTTCTGGTGTTCCTTTTACGGATGGAATTGGTCGAAGTGTTTCTGGCTATGAACTGCTTCGTGCCAAAATTCCTGCCTCTATTTAGCTGTACTTTGAACTGTGTGTGTAGCTCTAGCAGTCTAGCCCCCTAGAACTCGTTCATTCATTCATGCTGTTACCTTTTCAGTAAGAGCTAAAGCTAATTCCTAAATTTGTCCGGGGACCAAGCTAGTCCTTTTTTATGCTGCAGCTCCTATTTTCATAGCTTCCAGCTGATTCCTGCTAGTATAATACTATAATTTATAATATGAATATGCCATGGACTGTTTTATTGTGGCCGGCTGTTTTCGTCTGCACAAGTATTGTGTCTCACTGCTTTCCTGTCTTTCCTCTGTTGATTTTATTGTTCTATGTTATATTGGAATCTAGTAAGCTAACACAGTACACCGACTTTTTTATAATAGAATATTGTATATAGGATGAGGTCATATCGATGAATGATTAACCCCTTAGTGTTTTTATGCTGGTATTTGTGATACATCATACATGGTCTTGTAAAGCTCATTAGCTTTTGTGCCAATCGAATGCTTCGAAGTTGTATCACATCGTCTTATTTCTACAGTATGTTGTTTAGTTATTGGCGTATTTTTTATTTTCTGGTCCAGCAATTTATCGGCATATTCTTATCTATTGTACTGTCTATATATACTTCATTTCTTGCATGTTTATTGTTTTATCTTATTAATGAACTAGCATCTTGTGGTTTATTTTCTCATGTTGCCTGCTGTACCAGATGATTTTTTTCTCCTTATGAATTGGCATGCTTAAAGTATATCTACTAAGTGTAATTCTGGATATATGCGTATCTTGTTAACTTTGCATTATAGAGGAACATAGTGCAGCTTGTGTGGCTTTGCAGTTGGTATTCTAGATGATTTTACTATGTGTTGGTCTTGTTTATTTTGCATCTCTGCGAAGCTATACATGTTAGATATGTGTAATACTTTTTTGCCATGAGCCATGATTGTTTATCTAATTCCTTTTTTGGGGTCTCAGAGTCAATATGTCACTGGATATTACTCAAGTTCTCTTGAGTGCACAATCTCCTGATGGCGCGACTAGGAAGCTTGCTGAAGAAAGCCTTAAGCAGTTCCAGGAGCAAAACCTCCCAGGTTTCTTGTTCTCCCTCTCAAATGAGTTGGCCAATGAGGAGAAACCTGAGGAAAGCCGGAGGTTGGCTGGCTTGATTCTCAAGAATGCACTGGATGCCAAGGAGCAGCACAGGAAGAATGAGCTTTTCCAGAGATGGCTGGCACTAGATGTTGGCGTTAAGGCACAGATTAAAGGATTTCTTTTGCAAACTCTCTCATCTCCTGTTGCAAGTGCCAGATCTACCTCTTCTCAAGTTATCGCAAAGGTTGCTGGAATTGAGATTCCACAGAAGCAATGGCCTGAACTTATTGCGTCGTTGCTCTCAAACATACATCAGGTCCAGCCAAATGTCAAGCAAGCGACGCTTGAGACACTTGGCTACTTATGTGAAGAAGTTTCTCCAGAAGCTGTTGACCAAGACCAAGTCAATAAAATTCTTACTGCTGTTGTTCAGGGTATGAATGCTTCTGAAGGGAATTCTGATGTGAGGCTTGCAGCAACACGGGCATTGTATAATGCATTGGGCTTTGCTCAGGTTAACTTCTCCAACGACATGGAACGTGATTATATCATGAGAGTTGTTTGTGAAGCAACTCAGTCCACTGATGTGAAGATAAGGCAGGCTGCCTTCGAGTGCTTGGTGGCTATCTCATCCACTTATTATGACAAGCTGGCTACGTACATGCAGGACATATTTAATATTACTGCTAAGGCTGTTAGGGGAGATGAGGAGTCAGTTGCACTCCAGGCCATTGAATTTTGGAGCTCCATATGTGATGAGGAAATTGACATTTTGGATGAGTACAGTAGTGAGTTTACAGCTGACTCTGATGTTCCTTGCTACTATTTTATCAAGCAAGCACTTCCTGCCTTAGTGCCAATGCTGCTAGAGACCCTCCTCAAGCAGGAGGAAGACCAAGACTTGGATGAAGGTGCTTGGAATCTTGCAATGGCTGGGGGTACTTGTTTGGGCCTTGTGGCGAGAACTGTTGGGGATGATATTGTACCTCTTGTGATGCCTTTTGTTGAGGAGAACATAACAAAGCCTGATTGGAGGCACAGGGAGGCTGCAACATATGCTTTCGGTTCCATTTTGGAGGGCCCATCAGCTGATAAACTTGCTCCTCTTGTTAATGTCGCATTGAATTTTATGTTGTCTGCACTGGTGAATGACCCAAGTAACCATGTGAAGGACACAACTGCTTGGACCCTTGGAAGAATATTTGAGTTTCTTCATGGTTCTGCACTTGAAACTGCTCCTATTATCACATCTGAGAACTGTCAGCAAATACTTACCGTGCTTCTTCAAAGCATGAAGGATGTCCCAAATGTGGCAGAGAAGGCATGCGGAGCACTCTATTTCCTTGCTCAAGGCTATGTGGATGCAGGATCCGCTTCGCCGCTAACTCCCTTCTTCCAAGATATTATTCAGAGCCTTCTCTTTGTTACTCATAGGGAAGATGCTGGAGAATCCAGATTGCGTACTGCAGCTTATGAAACTCTAAATGAAGTTGTCAGATGCTCCATTGAAGAAACAGGCCCTATTGTTATGCAGTTGGTACCTGTGATCATGATGGAGCTCCATCAGACACTTGAGGCAGGAAAGTTATCAACTGATGAGAGGGAGAAGCGGAGCGAACTGCAGGGCCTTCTCTGTGGTTGTTTGCAGGTCATAATCCAGAAGTTGGGAGCGATGGAGTCAACAAAATATTCCTTCTTGCAATATGCCGATCAAATGATGGAACTGTTTTTGAGAGTTTTTGCCTGTCGAAACGCCACTGTGCATGAGGAGGCTATGCTTGCTATTGGTGCATTGGCATATGCGGCAGGTCCAAACTTTTCGAAGTACATGCCTCAGTTTTATCAGTATTTGGAGATGGGACTACAGAACTTTGAGGAGTATCAGGTCTGTGCCATTACCGTGGGTGTTGTGGGTGATTTGTGCAGGGCACTGGAGGACAAAATTCTGCCTTACTGTGATGGAATCATGACCCAACTCCTGAAGGACTTGTCGAGCAATCAGTTGCATAGATCTGTAAAGCCACCTATATTCTCATGCTTTGGCGATATTGCACTGGCAATTGGGGAGAACTTTGAGAAGTATTTGATATATGCCATGCCCATGCTACAAAGTGCAGCAGATTTGTCGGCGCATGCTGCTGCAGCTGATGATGAAATGCTCGATTACACCAACCAATTAAGGAATGGAATACTGGAAGCATACTCTGGTATTCTTCAAGGATTTAAGAGCTCCCCTAAGACACAATTACTGATGCAGTATGCTCCCAATATTCTTAATTTCCTTGATGCTCTTTACAATGGGAAGGATATGTAAGTCTTTAACTTTATATTTTGCTTCGCTGCAATCCTCATTATTAACATCGATTTTTTTAGTTAACTACCAAAATCTAAATCGATGTCATATATGCTTTTCAGGGATGATACTGTGATGAAGACTGCGATAGGTGTACTGGGAGATCTCGCGGACACGTTGGGTGTCCATGCTGGCCCTTTGATCAATCAATCTATCTCAAGCAAGAAATTTTTGGAGGAGTGCTTAGCATCTGATGATCCACTGGTCAAAGAGTCAGCTGATTGGGCAAGGGTTGCAATCAGCCGTGCGGTTTCAGGTTGAGGTCACATTGGTCTCGAGTCTGCACATGCATCATTCCACTTGTCATGTCCGGGTCTTGGTTGCATCATGTCTAGACCTGCTCTTTGGAGAAGTCAACCCATCCTTACAGCAGAGTCGGAGGTCCTCACTAACTCATGCATCAATACATGTGTCAGCCTGTCCTTATCACTTCTGCAGAAGAGAGGGTTAAGTTGGCTGCCTGCTAACTTTGCTTAAGGCATCTAGAACCTTCATTTCTTACTGGAGGTGAGATGAGCTTCTACAGTTGCCTGGCATCCCGATTGTTCATCGGCATGGCTTGGCATGCGTAGGGTCTGGGTGCTATCGTTTTCCATTGCATTCATTGCATGCATCGAACTTTGGTCGGATGGTCACTCGATACATGGTCCAGTTGCTTATGTTTCAATTAAGCAAAAAGAGGGCTCGAATGCATTGTCACAGGATTATTTTGTATTAGCTCAGGGCGACAAAGTTCATTATGTCGGACCTGAGCGTTCTGTCCCTCCCTTAGCTGGTAGCTTTTCTTTAATTTCCTAGCATTTTCTTCACTTGCATTGTCTTGCATTCATTCTTGGTCTGTTTTGTAAGAGTTCACCTTTTATCAAAACTTCGGTCCAGTCCGGTCCGGTACAGCACGCCGTTGTACAAGTCCTCGCGTGCATCGGTTTTATTTCCTGGTGTATCGGAGCAGCAGGCATTTGTACTTTCTTTCTTTTTTTTTGGGTTACTATCCTCTGCTCCATTTCAGTTTCCTTGAAGAAGCTGGGCTGCTGAAAAACAAAAACAATTATAGGTCTTGGAGTGGTTTTTTTGGGAGGCGGTTGGCCGAGTTGAATTTGTTTACAAAAATTGTATTATTCTATGGAGCTCTGCCTCCTCTCTCCCCCCATGTGTCATATAATTTGCTGGCATATTATGAGAATATGGTGAAATGCGTTGAAATGATATGGTGTTTTGCTTGCATGGTATGCTCGTATGGTTTGATTCGGTAAGAGTTTGGTGCCCAGTCCCTCTGTGGCTGTATATACAGTTATTACTGCCTAGTGTAAAGTTTCGAAATTGAATGATGAATTTGATTCATTTGTTAATTTTCTGTTTATCCGAGTGGTGAAGTTGCCTCAGGTTTGCTGGTTGGCAAAACTACAGACGCGTTGGCCGATTTGTTCGATTTGCAGAAATGGATGTGTGCATTAGTAGCAGTAGTGCGCTACGTTTAGCACACGTAGCAGTGCGAACTGCAAACCCAGCGAAGTTTCCTCTCGACGCGGTTGCCATCGATCATCAAATCGGTCGTTTGTTTCTGTTCTTTCTTTGCACTTGCACTGCCACTGCGGGATGCGTATTATTTGGCTGCCACATGCAAGTTCAGACTTCTTGATTCCACTGCGGTCAGATTCGGTAAGTTTTCAAGAGGAAGTTATCTGAAGCTAAACCGATTTGAACATCTACAAATGTCAGTGATCGGAGCCATCCCTCTCTACAAAGGTATAATGCATTAGTGATCGGAGCCATCCCTCTCTACATAGATATAATGTATTATGGGCCGTTCTGGATTGAAGCCTAAACGTGCCCTACCAATATTTTTGATAGCTTGAAGAGTAGGCACGGTTGTTTAGTTTGAAGCCAAATAATTAACATTGCCAATGTTCAATTTGGCAATTTCTAAATTCTAATCAAAGTTTTGGCTTCTAATTTGTATGAAACCAAATACAACTTTACCCTACCAAAGAAATGTTAGTGCTAAAATTTGCTCAGGTTTTGGCACTACCAATATTTTGATTGGGCATTGTTATAACTGTTTGTATATACTTGTATGGACAATGTTTTAGGAAGAAGCTAAGCTAAAAGAACATGTGGTTCCAAGTATTAATATTCTTTCCTATCACTCTTCCTCTCTCTCTCAGGGTACTAGCAGTACCATGAAGGATATGAATGGAAGTACCTTCTGAGTTCTGATGTATTCTAGTTTTAAAATAAATTAAATACCTAATATGAACTTAAAAAAAACAAATTCCTGTCATACATCACTACCTATATATACTTATGTTCATTTTGCAATTCTATTCGAATAGCCCAATATGCTTTTATTTTTGCATGAATCATAGGCTTGGCGATAACACTAGAATGGGAAGTGGAAGTTAGATGAGAGTAAGACAGCTTCCTTATGAAACCACATGATTTTATATGTGGGTGAGCCTTTGAGAGTGTTTTTTTTTCTCTCTTTTCCCTCATGTCACGTCGCATTAGTCTGATTTTGAATTCTGAAGACATGTTCTTTATTTGCTCCAACGTAATTTGTTCCAAGTGTCTCTGCTCTTCAGGAACAATCACATAGCTTTAGAAATACAGCTTCAGTTCCAGATTCTGACCAGCCAGCTGATATGATTTGTTTGATAATGCCCTCTGTTATTAAGGATGATTCTTGGTTCAGACTGGAGAATTCAAATTACAAAAAGGTTCAGATTGCTTTGAGAGGTACTAGTACAGCATTTTAGCATAGATAAAAATGAGAGAAATTAACCGAGATAGACTTCAGGAGTTCAGGGGCAATAAATGAAACACTTCTTCCATCCAACCCATTGCATGGTGTATTTTCCATATGCCAGATGCAGTTTGGTTGTCACTTAATTCCTGCCTCCCCATTTCATTGTAAAACAAAACTATTTCAAATTTGATTTTTAAAAATAGTTTTGGATAGATATCTTACTTGGCCTTTTAGCAAACATGAAAAGAGAGACAATGGAAGTGCGGAAAAGAGCACCTAAAATTAATCCTAAAATCAAAATCAACCTTAATGTAGTTTGAACATAACTATCTAATTTCTAAGGCAGTTTTTTTTAACAGAAACAATCAATATAAATCTCTTCCTTATAATTATAATGAAACTCAATCCATCCTTTACATCAGAGATATATGTACCCAACCAAAGTAGGAGTAACCAACTAGTTTAATCCCTACAAGGCTACCAACTCAAATTAGCCCCCTCTAAAAAACCCCCCTCAAATTAGCCCCTAATTTGTCTATCTTAGAAGAAAAATCCAAAGGGTTAAAGTCCCAATCTTCTCAAATAAGATTCAATCCTATCCTAGGATTAGCCTAAACTTCATTTCTTTAATCCAAACTTCGCCTATAAAAGCAGCTCGTCTCATCACTCAAACTCACACACTCCAAGCAAGAACTCAGCTTAGCTAGCTAGCAATGGCCAGCGCCCTCGCCTTCGTCGCCGTCCTCCTCGCCGCCGCCGCCGCGGCGACCTCGCCGGCGGCGGTGGCGGCCACCACGCTGACCATCCAGAACCTGTGCCCGCACCCGGTGTGGCCGCTCGTCACCCCCACCTCCGGCCAACCCATCTCCGACAACACCGCGCGCCTCGACCCCAACTCCCTCATCTCCCTCGCCTTCCCGCCCACGCCGTGGTCCGGCCGCGTCGCCGCGCGCACCGGCTGCGACGCGGCGGCGTCGCCGCCGGCCGGGTGCGAGACCGGCGCCTCGCCGCCGTCCACCGTGGCGCAGCTGAGCGTCCACGGCGGCGGCGACGTCGCGACGTACAGCGTCAGCCTCGTGGACGGCTTCAACGTGCCCGTGGTCGTCAGCCCGCAGGCCGTCGGCGGCGGCCAGTGCCCCGCCCTCGGCTGCGTCGTCGACCTCAACTGCGACTGCCCGCTGGGGCAGCGGTTCTCCGACGGCGCCGCCTGCCGCGGCCCGCCGGAGTACTTCAAGGGCCGGTGCCCGCAGACGAGGACGACGCCGGGCGACGTCGAGCCCGTGCCGCAGAGCTGCCGCTCCCCCGGCGAGCTCAAGGTCATCTTCTGCCCGCCCACCATGCTCACCGCCGCCGCCGCCGCCGCCGCCAGCGACATGCTCATCCGTACCGTCGTCGCCTCCAGCTAGATCGCTCGCTTCGCCGGCGAGACGACGGCGAGAAGAGAAATCCCGTGCCTAATGCTGACGCATGCATGGGCTTAATAATAAATTAATTAATCAATTAAGCTGTGGCTTTGAGCATGTTAATTACTACTTAATTAATCTTAATTAGCATCGATCTGTGGCTGTGGAGATGTAATTAGCTCGAGCTTTGGCTTGGAGCATACTTGGTGTTCGTCTGTGTTGTTTTTCGATGTGCTACGCCATTAGCAATGGCTAGCAAAAAATAATCAATCAGTATGAAATTTCTCGTGTTGTGATGAATTTACATGGTGTATTTAATTCGTTATTTACCATAAATTTCATCATATATATTATCTAGAAAGTAATTTGTTATATATATAGAGCTGATAATTAAGTAAAAACATTCTGTGTTATCGTCCCTGCTCCGCGTTAATTAACGCAAAATAGACAAGTTATATACTACTCTATACTTAATATAACTTCTGTGAAATTTCTACGCTTTCATTGATAAATACATTTTTCTACGCTTCATTTTTTTTTTCTGAAGCTGAGGAGGCTAGTCCTCATTCCATGAGAGAGAAACAACAGCGACTACAGTTGATCAATCCAGGTAGTCCGCAAATTATACTTTCAAAAACTGAATAATGAAGGACGCAAATTCGAAAATCCAATCTAGCTAGTAGAAAAGTTCAAACACGGCCTCAAATCCAAATTAAAAGTTCATGCACGAGCGGCTGATGCGCGTACCGTGTGCGAATTCAATCGATCAATACGAATGGTTCTATTTTTATGACGACTAAACATAAATATGACTTTATTTAACTTTTGACATGCATATATACCTTGCTTCTTTGCAGAGAAAAGTGCCTTGCATTGGCTAACTAAAGGCAAAGTTGAAATTTGGGGATTTAGCTCGATATGTCATCATCATTAGCTGAATTATAGTACGAACTTGTCTAGGAAATCGGGCAAAGCCGGTAAAGTAAAAGGAGCTCATCAAGTTGAGAGTACCAGACAAATTGATTGTGTTTCAAATTCGAATCTGTTCCGGAATCAGGAACATTCAATAAACCACAGCTGGGTTTTCGTTTTCTGCGAGTTAATCTTAACTAATTAAAAGATTCGTATTTTTCCAATCGTCACCTCGTCCGTGCGCTGTTTTTTCGTCCGTGCCCCCCCCCCCCCCCCCCAAATCATCCGCCCCCAAAATCTCATCCGGAATTCCATCATACAAATTGAATCGGACGGGGAATACTGAAACATATACACACAACCAAAATCCCATCCGGAATTCCATCATACAAATTGAATAGGAGAGGGAAAACTGAAACATATACACACAAATTTTATCCAAATCCTAGAGAAAACATTACTACAAGAACACAAATAAAAAAACCAAACCGGAAGGGGAGGGTGCCGCCGCCACTGCCGAACCGCAGCCGCCTCCCACTGGATCCGGCGGAGGGGAGGGCGCCGCCGCCGCTGGGACGCCGGGTTGCCACCGCCTCCCCTCCCCTCCCCTCCCGCTGGATCCGAACGCCGGGCCACCACCATCTCACCGCCGCCTCCCCTCTCACTGGATCCGGCGGAGGGGAGGGCGCCGCCCCACCACCACCGTCTCCCCTCCCGTCCCTCCGGGAAACCGGGCCGCCGCCGCCTCCCCTCCCACTGGATCCGGCGGAGGGGAGGGCACCACTACCACCACACATGAGACAGAGAGGAAGAGGGTGCTGCTGGCCATGGGGAAGGAGCCATGGAGGGGGAGGGGACGGAGAAAGAGGGTGCTGGGAAGGAGCCATGGAGGGGGGGAGGGGACGGAGGAAGAGGGTGCTGGGAAGGAGCCATGGGAGGGGGAGGGGGACGGCGTGCGTAGAGGGTGAGGGGAGGGGGAAGGGGTCGCCAGATGAGAAGGAGATAGGGGTAGGCGGAGAAGAGAAAAAAAAGAGGCGGGCGGAAGTAACGAGGCGCGCCGCTCTCTCGCTCTCCGCTCGTGTCCACCGTCACGCTCGTATGGGCAATTTTTTTTAAAAAAAAAGGCAGAGCAAGCAATTAATACATGATTAATTAATTATTAATTATTATAAATTTGAAAAATGGGTTCCTTTGAATTTTTTAAATAACTTTTATATATTATTTTTCAAAAAATACACCGTTTAGTAGTTTGGAAATGTGTTAACGAAAAACAAAAAAGTTCAAGTTTAGAGTTGGAGTTTAGAAGGGGGCCTTAAACGTAACAATCAGATTTCATCCATCGTGGTGCGTCATCACCACTTCAGCCTGAGAGGATCGGGAGTTAGGACAGGAAAAACTGAAATAGGGTTAGGGTTTTGGTACCGGCCGTTTTAATGGATTCTGAACCGATCCGAACCGTCCATCAAAACGAGTGGCTCGGATCAATCCCGCATCGAGCTGGCCTCCATCTCTGCGCTGCAGCACTACTGGGCCGCACGCAGCACATGAAGCACTAACAGCGTGTGATTGAGTTGTTGGGCCACATTTGGTATGGTTAGTCTTTTTTTAAAGCAGCAAGTCCACTTTGTCTCTCTCAAATATATCTCCAATCTAATTTTCATAGAAAAACTAAAAATAAAAATTACCTGACAAAATACAATTACCCAACAAGAGGAAGTTAGTCTTTTTTTAATTGCGATAAAACCTTAGTTGATGTTGAAATATATTGTTTTCAACATGTTGTTTATTGGCAAATTTATATCAAGAATGCCTTACTCTAAAAGGACTCATATCACAAATTAAATCCTAAAAATATTTATTGTGATTTTAATTGAAATTACTCCGTAGCAACGCACTATTGAATAATAATTTATTATGAGCTATATTTCCCTCTATCATTTGAGACTTTTTCTAGCGAGATAAAAGTACCAAAGCAGTGTAAAAAAATTTCAGTTACAAACAAATATTTTTAGTTTTAATACACCACAGCGAAGCACGGGCATGTTGCTAGTTACTTAAATTTCCCACAAAACCATTTTGCTTCACTTGAAAAATTTTCAATTCTGTTTATTTAACTTCTATTTTTTTGAAGGTACTAATAAACCATCGGATATGCTTGGTAGGCTCTGCCTATTTATTTCAAAAGTATTTCTTGGGTGTCAGGTGCTTTATAGGTTTGGGGTAAAATAGCATGCATAATCACTGTACTAATCATGATTCCAGTGGTTAAAGCCGAGGAATCTGTACTACAAAGAAAAATCTACAAAAGTTTAAAGATAAAGACCAATTCCTCTGCCTTATTCTCTGCTTTTTCGCCGTAAGAATGAACATTTTAGTTTGGCGGTTTTCGCTCTTGAATACCACCAAAGTTTGCTTGCTCGCCCAATAATCATTGAATAGAAGCATTTTCATTGAAGGGAAAAATTACATGACAAATAGCATCAAAACTCTGTCAGTTGTTTCTACTCCTATGAGAAAATGAACAGCACTGACAGAAGCTGTAGAACAAGTGAAACTTCATTTTTGGCTGCGTTCGGGAGGAGGGCACGCACAACGAAGCATGCATTATTGCATAATTAATTAAGCATTAGCTATTTTTTAAAAAAAATAGATTAATTTGATTTTTTTTAAATAACTTTCATATAGAAATTTTTTATAAAAGACGCACTGTTTAGTAGTTTGAAAAAAATGTACGCGGAAAACGAGGGAGTAAGAACACATCCTTTGTTGTTGAAATGGCGAAGACAAGCTCTGGCAAGGCTATATTAGGGCTTAGGTCCAAAACCTGTTGGGCCACTTAAGTCCTCCTTTTCATGGGCCTCAACAAGTTCCATCCTTTTGATGGGCTGATATTTTGGGCAAAATTTTGGCACACATGGATGGGCCAGTATTGAGGCCCATCAAAAATGAATCATGATAATGTGATGACCCAGCCCAAGATGAGTTGGCCTGGCCTAACAAACATATCAGTCCTTACTGTTCAATATCAGGAGAAAAGAAAAGAACAGAAGAGATCTAAGAATAAGTTGGCCTTTACATGCATGCTGTCTTGATACGTTTGAGTCGATTTAGTGGCCAATAATGCTCAGTGGTGCATGTATGAATTAAGTTAAAACAAAAGGTAATGTGTCTATCTCAATGACAAGATTATACCTGAGTAAAATGCACGGAGGGTCATCCAATTTATTTAGGTGTGTCATATAATTTATTCTACTTGGCAAATGTTCATATAAATGTAAGTTTAGTGAGTCATTTGCCAATCTAACTATTCATCTATCCACACGAGTATGCCTTGTACAATGACATGTCACATAAGATTAAAAAAATTGCATCCAAAAATGTGTAGAAAACTCTTCGTGTATTTTTTTCCTTTCTCGCAGCACTACCAATTGGCAATACACGAAATTAGTGAAACCAAATCATTTCACTTGTGCCTAACCTAAGAAGAAAGCTTGGGAGGTCGAGCGAGCCGAGTAACCCTGCTCACTTGTCCAACGCTAGACTTAAAACTTGAAAACTGGATCTATCAAGTTTTGAATAGAAATTTCTATACAGAAAGTTATTTGAAAAGTGTATCATTCGAAGTTTGGAAGTCGTTCTCATAAAAAAAAAGGGTAAAAAATCAGTCGAGAAGCTGATTCAAACTCAGCATAAGCTCTTCCCTTATATGAAACCGTCCTCGGAGGCTACTAGCTAAGACTTCAGAAGGGACAATTTCTCCCTAATTATAATTATCTGAAGTTGGCTAAACCCAAAGTCCCTGAGCACCCCAAAGCAAAGCATTACTCCCTCTATCCCATAAAAAACCAATACTGAATATGACACATCATGTTACTACGAATCTGAATATTGTACTGGAATGCGTCACATCCAATTCTATATTCGTTTTTTTTTTGACAGAATGAGTATATCTCAGTGCCGACATGACGACAAGTAATTTCAAAAAAAAAAATGACATGAGGACAAGTGAAGTGCCACCAACCAAGGTACAGGAATACATATATCCCGCGTCCCAAGCATCTTGTAAATACGCACGTAGTAGATGTAACTAATGAAGAAATAACCGCATGTGAAGGAACATTCCCCAAGCACGAAATGGTGGTTAGATTAAAGTAATTAAGCCAAGGCGATTCCATTAAACTAAATTAATCCTTGCTTTGTCAGTTCGACCCATCCAGTTGATGGGCTCTCCAGTTTCCTATGCGAGCCCGTGCTACACCTCTGTCAGCTGATTGCCAGTCGGTGCTCAGATCTCCATGCATCCATCTTTTCACTAATTATGTATAATAAAAATTTAAAATTAATATACGGATAATGCAAAATAATTAATTCCACAGAAAATGAAATTTCCATCAGCAAAACCAAATAAAATTTAGAAACGATCGAACAGGAAAGCAAGTAGAATTACTGTATTTCACATTTGCTCCCTTCAATGGAATATATTTTGATAATATATTTGTTTTGTACTGAAAATATTACTATATTTTTTAATAAACTCAGTTAAATTTAAAAAAAATATAAAGAAAAAGGTTAAACGATTTATAATATGAAACGGATTAAGACATGAGAGAAAATACTGAAATATTCTTGCAAAACTTGTGCCTATGAACCTATCCGAAACATTAATTAAGCGCACGCAATGTGCCGACGCCGCATGCAAATTAAACGCACTAGCTAAAAAGCCACTATCAAGGATAAAGTACACTCCTACTAAAGTGCAGTGATTGGTTAATGTAGGCCACTCTATTTTACAGCCACCAACCTAAATTTCAGCTAAAAACCGGTTCATTTCGGCTGTTAGAGTACTCCCTTCAGTTTAATATTAATTGACGTTTTGAACAAGGTTGAGATCAAACTTTTATAACTTAGACTCTTAATAACTTTAAAAATATTTAGTTTATAGGAACTAGAACAACATATATAGATTTGTTTTTAAAGTACTATAATAAAAGTAAACATGCATTTATTTATTATATATATTATAATAAAAAAATAAGGTCAAAGATGTATCTTGTAGACCGTGTCATTATCCAAAATGTCAATTAAAATGAAACCGGAGGGAGTAAGTTATATTACTCCCTTTGTTGTTCAGGACATGTTCCCTAAACTTATTTTGTGTAAATAGTTTTTCACTTATATAAAGGTTCTAAAAATATCATACTATTAATTTACCACTAAGATTATAATACTCGATTAATTTACCTTATTTGGCATGCCTCCGAGTTGCTTAAAGCACCCGCAATGGTTATCTATAGGCTCTCTATAAGAGATCCATGTCAGCATATTTTTTTACTTGGAAGAGATTAAATGAAGAGAGAGAACAAAACTATCTACTAACCTGGAGATAGTCTATAGAGAAAAACGAGGCAATAGATTAGAGAGCTATAGATACCCATGTAGATATACCATTGAAGTGGTTTACTATTAATCTAGTCTATTGCTGATATGTACATGTTTTATAGATAGCACCTTACTTTATCATTGCGGGTGCTCTTAGGCCACTATGAAGTACTCCCTTCGTTTCGTTTTAAGTGTTGTTATGATTTTCCTCGCTCAACTTTAACCGTCTGTCTTATTTAAAAAAATTTAAGTACATAAGTCACGAGTAAAATATTATTTATGTTTTATCATCTTATAACAATAAAAATACTAATTATAAGAAAAGTTTAAATAAGATGAACGATTAAAGCTGAGAAAAAACTTATGGTTGTACTAAAGTACTCCGTACCCTAGACCCTAGTAATTAATGTGCAATGGCAGATTACTGTACGGTACCACACTGGCACCCTCTCTTCATTTTACTGCCACCAACCCAATAGTAAAAACGAAAAAAAAAAAAGAAAAGCAAATTTACACGCGATACACACATTTCACCGAAGCTACAATGCACGGAGCTGCAGTACATGGATCGTGTGACTCACGTTGCAGCCACGCGCTACAAAAGAACCCAAACCCTACACCTGCATGCATAGTACTCATCAATCATCATCCGCATCCACTCTCTCCATTCCGAATAAATAAATATACAATAAGATATAAAAACCTACAAATTTAATATAAATATGATAATCCCTTCATCCCATTTTAAGTGCATTTTTTCCAAGACCGTCCATTTTATATAAAAAAAATATTAGTTTTTTTAATTTTTACTAAATGATGAATATTATTTTACGCGTGACTTATTTTTAAAAAAAATTAAAATTTTTTAAAAGGATAAGTCCATTTTACGCCCTCAAACTTTTGTGTTTGTCTAAAATACACCCTCGAACTACAAAACCGGGTATCTAACACCCTCTAACTATTAACACCCTCTAACTATTAAAACCGTGTAATTTACCCCCAAAACCAAATCAAAGTGGTTTTTTGGTTACGTGGTATCTACGTGTCAATCCAAGTCAGCAAAATTATTGAAGCAAAATCCTCTCCTCTCCTCTCCTCTCAGCCTCTCACTCTTTCCTCCTCTCCTCTCTCTCTCTCTCTCTCACCGACGGGAGCTGCGCGGCGTGGCGGGCTGGAGCGGCGGGCTCGGCACCGGCAGCGGCTGCGGCCTTCCATCCGTGACGGCGGCGGGCACGGCGACGACGACGGGAGCGGTGGCGGCGGCGGCGGCTGCAGCTGCGGCTAGGTCGGCCAGCGTCCGAAGGTCGCGGGGCAGCGGATCCGTCGGCCGTGGAGCCGGCCGCTGGCGACGACGACGGCGGTTGTGGTGACGCCGGATGCGGCGAGCTCGACCGGTGGCATGGCCTAGGGAGGAGCTCGCGGCACTCGACGGCGACGGCCATGGTGCAGAGTTTGCCGGCTCGAGGAGCAGCAGGAAGAAGGAAGAAGATGGGGACGTGGATGTCGCTGGTGTGGTTCTTGATGTTCCCGGCGAAGAAGTACAAGATCGTCGTCGTCGGCCTCGACGATGGCAAGACCACCACGCTCTACAAGCTCCATGCTGCCCAAACCAATCTCCCCCAACCCGACCTTTCTCCTCCCTGGCAGTGGCAGCCAAGGGGCTTGGAGCTCGTTGGGTGGCGTTACTAGCGGCGATGGCCGAAGGGCGTGGAGCTCGAGGGACCCCCTCCACAACCGCTCGCCACCGCCATCACCTTGGCCACCACCTATCTCGTGTGCCGATCTCAACCCGCTATGGAGGAGGGCAGATTTGTGGCAGGAAAGCGGTGGGAGACTGCTTGCTGGGGGCTGGAGGGAGTGAGGCCAGTGGAAAACGGGATGGAGGCTGAGACAGAGGGAGCTCGTCGGCAACTTCGGCTGCTCCATTGAGATTTTCAGGGAGGAAGGGGAAAGAGCAGAGAGGAAGGAAGAAGAAGAAAGGGGTGTACTGACTAGTGGGACCCCCTCTCCCTCTTGGTGACGTGGAATTCTTTTTTAGAGGTGGCATCCGACGTGGCATCCAATTGTACCAAAACCAGCCTAAAATTGCTTTGGGGGTAAAGTGTCCGGTTTTAATAGTTCGAGGGTGTTAGATATCCGGTTTTACAGTTCGAGGGTGTGTTTTAGACAAGGTAAATAGTTGAAGGGCGTAAAATGGACTTATCCTTTTTTTTAAAATAAGACGAATGATCAAACGTTTAAGATAGAAGCCCACGACTGCACTTAAAATAGATTAGAGGGAAAATATTTTATATTACGACTTTAAACATTACTCTCTCCTTCGAAAAGTCTAAGTCCTATTTCTTTTTACACTAAGACAAAAAAAATAATTCATTTACCATGTGCCAAAACCAATGAACATGCAACCATTAAACATAAAAATGGCTTCTTGGGTTTCTATTAAAAATTTAATTTAGCACATGATCACTACAGATAGGAATTGATTTTTGAAAAAAAATTAAAGAATGAAATAGGTAGGAGGGAGTTATTCTGTTTAGACTGTGTTTAGTTCATTAAAAAAAAGTTAAAAATTTAGGAAAAGTTGAAAGTTTGGAAAAAAAAAGTTAAAAGTTTATATGTGTAGGAAAGTTTTGGATGTAATGTAATGTGATGTAAAATTAGAAGTTTGGGGTAGCTGGGGTAAACTAAACACGCCCTAAATTTTACTCCTATGGAAGCAGTATTGCCTCTGACACGCAAAGCTAGCTTTCGATCGATCTCATCCGCGTCACTGTCCCTACCTAGCTGACCAGCACCAGCTCGATCGATCTACTCCTATCTAGCAAGATCCAGTATGCTCCCTCACAGATTATTTATCAAATTAATTAATCACCCCGTTAATTACACCACTGGTTCACTTAAACCCTAGTTAACCCCCTAACCCCAAACCCCCCATCCCCCGCTATAAATACCACCCCCAAATCTCCCTCCCAAACCAACCCAACCCAAAGGAAATCCATCCATGGCGATCTCCAAGCTCCAGCTCGCCCTCCTCGCCGCCGCAATGGCGGCGGCGGCGATCTCCCCCACCGCCTCCGGCGCCTACACCGGCTGCGCGACGCCGAGGAAGGTGACGATCCAGAACCTCTCCGGCCGCGACCTGCCCCTCTCCGAGACGCCGCTGGCGAACAGCGGCGCGCTGTTCGGCGCCGGCTACGTGCTCCGCCACGGCACGCACGCCGAGTTCACGACGTGCCTGTGGACGGGGCGCGTGGCGGCGCCGGGGGCGGCGGTGGTGGAGTTCCACGTCGGCCCCGACGGCGGCGCGTGGTACCAGGTGGACAACCGCCAGGCCGGGTCGCCGGTGAAGGTCACCGTGACGCCGCACGGCCGGCCGCTCCAGGGCCACTGCCCCGCCGCCGGGTGCCGCGGCGGCGGCCAGTGCTTCGCCGACGCCGTCCCCGGCGGCAACTGCCACGCCGTCGACGAGCTCAAGATCATCTACTACAGCCCGTGATTTTGGTTTTGGTTTGGTTAAATTTCGTTTGGATTAGTGGGTGATTAGGCCGTCTATTAGTTTTAAGTTAATCATTTGGATCGTCGTTGAGTCCGTCTACTAGCTATATGTAGCTACTGCTAGCTTTAGCTAGTGAGTGTGTCAGTGTGTGACAGTGTCACGTCATCGCATGCATGCATGCATTGATGTCGACATGTCCTCGTAATGTGCGTCGTGTTTTGTCTTGTCGTGTTGTTGATTAATCCTCGATAATTTGATGTGCATGCATTGTTTGCAGTGCAGTGTGCCAGTGTTGTTATATTACTGGACAGTGGACGCCTGATCGAGCAGTGAAACTCCAGCTGAACATTATCATCATAATCATAGACAAAAATATAATGGAAAGGAAAGATGAACTGATGAAGTAGCTTAATAACTACTCCATCCGTAAAAAAAAAAAACTGACCTAAGAGTAAGAGGGGATCCTCTGTTCAGATTCGTGGTACTATAAGAGTCACGTTCACTTATAGTTTGGTTTTTTAGGACGGAGAAAGTACTTCACTCCTCATTATTTTTGGTTTTTTAGGACGGAGAAAATACTTCACTCCTCATTATTTTTAGCACAATATCAAATCAAACATTTTTAAATTTGACTATAATAGTAAAAAAATTAAAATTGATATTACTAGATTTATCATTAAATAAACTATCATAATATGAAACTCTTTTTATTTAGAACATCTTATTTTTATAGATATTGTTGGTTAAAGTATCATTTTGAAGACTATGTCGAAGTCTAAAAAATACTTATATTTTAGTACAGAAGGAGTAGTTTATTCTTTTAACAGAGTATCGGAGTGAAGACAAATATGCAAATTCTTTGATCGTATTTAAGAAAGGAATATTACAATAAGGCTATAATAATTGGGCATAAGGCAAGAATTAAAGTGAATCATGACAAATTGGGAAGCATATGTACCAATAATTTTTTCTAATAGTAAACATGAACATAAGTATTATAAATAAATGCAGTGGTGGCAGATACTACAAACATTCCTCAAGCACGAGATGTGAATTTCAAATTGATGATTAGTTTAGAAAATTTATACTAAATACTAATTTGGTGTATTAATTATTAAACATAGATTAATTACAAAACTAATTACACATATGGAGTCTAATTTGCTAGACGAATTTATTAAATCTAATTAATCTATATTTAGCACATATTTACTGTAACAGTACATTGTCAAATTATGGATTAATTAATCTTATCTCGTAAATTAATCTTAATCTATGTACTTAATTTTTGAAATTAGTATATGTTTAACCGTTTAAATTAATGTCTAAACATCGATGTGTCCCTGTATTCCAACTACCCCTACGTTGTGCTACTGCTACCTGATCTGAATAGTAGTATGATTCCAGCATGCACGCGTGCCCGGCAGAGCTCAGATCTCAAAAATTAACAGAGTATCTTCTGGCCCATTCCCTGCACAAGCAGATAAAAAAGCGTAGCCACTCGTTTCTGTCGACCATTTGGTCCAATTGCAAAATTAACCAAATGCAAAATGAATGGAAATTTGTACTAAGTGACGATTAACTTGGTTAATTAACCTGAAACTCAAGAAATTAATGAGACCGGATTAATCACACTTCTATTACTTATGCAAATGCACAGCTTGTTTACTGCAAAATAAACTATGATTAAAAAAACAAAAAATCAAATCCAAAATTAAATTCTAAAATTTAAATTTGAACTTATAAGTATAAGCATAAGCCAACTAATAAGGTCATGAGGCTCGTGTCTCGTCTGGCTCGTGTCTCGTCTGCCCCTCTCTTGTCCTCCTTGCTCTTCTTTTTTCTGGTCAGGTCCCAATTCTAGCGACAGCCCAATTTGGACTTGTTTGGAGCTGGAGCTCAGCCAAACAGTTTCAGTTCCACCTAAAATAAGAGTTGAGTTGAATGAAGCACTCTCACAAAATAAACTAGAGAGGTGAAGTAGGGTTTAGTCAGCCTCACAATTCTACTTCAGACACAACTCCTGAAGCTAAATTCAAGAGTTGTAGCTCTAATTGACCGTCCATGCTGGGGAGTGGACACCCAACACTAAAGGCCCCTTTGAATCGCAGGATTGAGAAAACGTAGTAATAAGAAAAACGTAGGATTTTGATAGGAATGTAAGTGTAAAACAGAGGATTGCAAAACACAGGAAAAACACATGAATGACCATTTGATTGAACCACAGGAAAAACAAAGGAATTGGATAAGAGAGATAGATTCAAAGGAAAGTTAACAAGAGGTTGAAACTCTTGCTAAATTTCCTCCAAAATCTCTATAGGATTGTCCATTCCATAGAAATTTCAAATGATTAAATAGGATTCAATCCTTTGTTTCAAAGGGCTTCGTAGGAAATTTTTCTATAAAATTAAAACCCTCTACAATTCATATTATTTTCCTCCGAATCAAAGAGCCTAACGAGGCCATGCATTCCTACGCTATCCGGCCTAGAATCATTGGCCGGCCCGTCACGTACGGCCCAACGTTCGAGATTATGGGGTTGTTTGGTTGGCGGCTTGGAATGCCACGCCACGGCGTGGCTCGCCACAGGAGTGTGACGGACGTTTCGTCCGCCTCAGAAAACACTGTAGAGTGGCGAAAATACTGTAGCTATGGTATTCAATGGCTGGGATCCAAACACACCCTATGTGATTAATTGCAGCAGTTTCAGCCTTGTACGCACCAAATAATCGGAGCTGATTTCTTCCGTCCAACACCTGAAGAACGCAAGGGTGGTACTTTTTACACTGTAAAATTTGAAGGCTTAGGTTTAAAAAGCATTTTATGCATTTTTGACCCAAAAATATTTAAGGTTTAGGTAGGGTTGTGAAAGAAAACAAAATTATTATCAATGATAGGTAATTTACCAAAGAGAAACAAAATTAATAATTTACCAAATTATTAGTTATCAACAATAATTTTAATTACATCACAAGTTATTAACAGTTAGCATCACAAATGAACCAAGAGAAAGGGGTACAAGAATTCAGAGATGAGTCAAAATTAGCTAATAGATATGTATCAGGTCGAGCATGAGTTACTAACGGATAAAAAATGAAACCTGTTTGTTGCCCATAACGTCTTCGGATCTCGAACGGACATGTCCGCGGGTAAAAAGTCACACCCACGCCCATGCCCATCGGGTCGGGTATCCACGAATACCCGGACCTATGGGCAAAATTGCCATCTCTAGCCATAAGCTCTACATTGTGAAGATCTAAACAACACCATATGTTGGGGTGAGTCACATAATATAAGGGATTTCAGGTGGATGTAATATATCCCAGTACACATCTTAGTCAATATTCATTGTACTAGAATGTGTCACATTCATCTAAAATCTCTTATATTATAGTACGGAGTAAGTAGTAACAATTTCTGGCTCTTGTCGTTCTTTCATTCAGGGGAAGAAATAGTTAGAAGAAGAAAAGAAAGAACACAGCTGGATGGGTAGATTCCATGGCATATCCAGCATGCATTCAACCTCCTCGCCCACACTCACAGTCATCGTTCTTATCCTCCTGACCCTCCGATTGTTGAAAGCAGCACGTGTGGATCTGTACACGGACACTGCATTTAATACACAGTACATCAAGCACGAAGCCTCCGAATTGTTGTAATTTGCATTATATTGCAATTTACAGACATGCACGTTTAGCAATAATGCACTGTATTCGTTCAAGAAAATCCTTTTTCCAGTTTGGACGACAAAATTCATAACAAATGCTAAACTTGCTAATACCCACGTAAAAGAAAAAAAAAACTGCATTTATGTTTGCGCAGGGCTTGTTCGAAATGCACGATGAAAAAAAGAACGAAGAAATAGAAAAACGTATGATTTTAATAAAATGTACTACTTCCGTCTCATAATATAGGTAATGAAGTAATCTATAATCGGATGGAACTCATAGTATAACAAATCTGAACAAAAGAGTGTTTAGATTCGTTGTACTATGAAATGTCTTATTCAGTTCTTTATTGTTTTATTATGCGAGTGAGAAAGTATAAACAAGTACAAATAGATGAATGTAAAACATAAGAATGGACGTTTAATTAGGCTACAGAGAAACATAGGAATAAGATAAGAGACATATTCAAGGGAAATTTTGAGGTTTGAGCTATTGTTAACTTTTCATCAAAATCTCTATAGAATTGACCATTTTATAAGAATTTCAAAAGAAATGATAGTTTCAAACGACTTTTATATTTTTTTTCATGTATGAATGAAATCCTCAAAATCTCATAGATTTTTCTTGCAAATCAAAGTGGGCTTTCCGCAAGACCGGTGGCTTAATTTGGCTACAAGGTTAACGCTGTGTTCGGATTCCAGTAATGGGAACTAATCCCTCCTGCACGGAAAACGGAGCAGTCCATTAACGTGTGATTAATTAAGTATTAGCTATTTTTTAAAAAACGAATTAATATGTTTTTTAAACAACTTTCGTATAGAACCTTTTTATAAAAAAACATATTATTTAGTAGTTTAAAAAGCGTGCGCGTGAAAAACGAGTAAGATGAGTTAGAAACATGGGATGCAAACACAGCTGTAACTACAGCCTACTCCAGCCCAACCATAGTCTACCGCTGGTCACATTATTTGATTCTCTCTCTCTCTGTGAAAAAAAAAGAAGAGAAACTCAATCCTGCGCTTGTATTTAAAGCGTAAAAATAGGATGCCCATAATTGATCAAGTTACTTCTCCAGACAAGATTTACTTATTTGATTTAGACATATAGTACATGCAGAATCTCAAAAGGGATATGAAAATCTGAAAAAAGTTTATGCCAATGTGACTAAGGCTGCCCATGTTTTTCTCCCTTCTCTTTTTGAGAGAAGGCTGAATGCGAAAGGCGGCATATGCTTGAGGTTCACTCGAGTGGGCCGACCGGAGGCATCATGACTCGTGATAACAGTCCAAATCATGGAGCCATGCCGCCATGGATCAAAGCTGCCTAGCTACCTCTCTATTGTCTATGGATCCTTATGCTGACAAGGACATCCTAATGTGCTCCTCCATTTTAAACACTCCCTTTTGTTTTAAAATATAAGCTAACTTTAGAAAAAATATTATTTGAAGGGATTAACAACATCGGTAAATTTTTATTAGGGAAATGTACTGATTGGTTGTGATGATGAGAGTATATGTAGAGACATTAAATGAGAGAGAGATGGTTGAGTCGAGGGAGTAGGCGATCAGGCATAGAAGTAGATATATTTCAGGATAAATTTTAAATGTTAAAAGAAAAAAAAGTACTCTTACATCTTAAAATATAAGTATTTTTAAATTTCGATATGGTCATTGAGATTCTACTTGGCTAAAAATATTTAAAAAATAAAATACTTTAAATATAAGCATTTTTAAACTTCGACATAGTCATTGAGACGCTACTTTGACTAAAAATATTTTAAAAAATAATATGTTTTAAATAAAAAGAGTTGTATATTACGATAGTTTATTGAATGATAAATCTACTAGTAACATTATTCTTACATGAATGATCATTTTTATTTTTTAAGCTATTAATGGTCAAAGTTAAAAATGTTTGACTTAGCAGCATTTAGAAAATGATTATATTTCAGGATGGAGAGAGTAGTACTTTATCAACATTGATAATAATTTCTACTAGCTAGCAATCAACACCGTACATATAAGTACTAGTACTACATTCTTTGTAAAATAAAAGGGGATTTTGAGAATGTGTGTGCACATATATTTGTCGAAATCCATCCCTGTGACGGATGTAGTATAAACTTGCTTATATTACAACCAATGCATGCTGGGTTCTCTGCTATCGGATTGCGTACGCGCGTGCAGAATTGTTGCTAGCTGTGCGCTACTCCTGTAGTTTGTTGGTAGTAGCACTCTAGCTAACCGCTTCGTTACATGATATACTGAATTAGACACCACTAGGCCATCTAATACCACAAAATCTGAATATTCGTGATACTATGTGGTGGTATTATTTTGCTTATTGTATTTTACTAGGTACTCCCTGCATCCAATATTAGTGCAACTTACAAAATGTGATATATCTTATGATTACGAATTAGAATTATTAATCTGGATATACAATTGTCCAGATTTATATTTTTAGGATATGTCATAGTTGTCTGTTGCGATTTTTAGTATTAGAAAATACTACATTTATATTAGGTTACTTATATTGATACGTACGGAGTAAGAAGGGTAAGAAAGAATACGTTCACTGTTTTCCAGAACAGGTTTCCATGCTCATTGGTTCTTCGAAGGTTCTTGGCTTCGCATCAAGCACGCGCGCAGTTTCCTAGGGCAGTCAACACTTGGGTTGTGGATGCAATCACACGAGCTACAGCGCACGCAGTTTTAGGCTTTATGCAGTGAGCGTTGAGTGCATGGAATACTTTGGTTGTGAAATCCTTTATATATATATATATATATATATATATATATATATTTCTCTTTTAAAATGGTGAAGTTAATTAGCTGGCTATCATATAATCATATACTAAGCAAATTAATAACTTTCTCTTTGGAATAATTTAAACACAGGTGGTCGATCGAATAACAAAAGCATCACGAGCTATGAATATAAATCCGACGGAACCCTATAAGATTCATCAGTTCTTACTAATCCAAATTCCAAAGCATGCACTTTTCATCATTATCCCATCTCATAAACAATTACTACAGCCCAAGGTTTTGACATTAGAGCAAGTTTAATAATATACTTCCTCTGTCCTAAAATATAGCTACCTAATACTACATGTGATATTATCTTGTACTGCTGTCCAGATTCGTAGTACTAGATAATGTCACATCTACTACTAGGTAGCTATATTTTGGAATGGAGGTAGTAGCTAATCATCTTCAAATTATTTATAGTCAATCTAATAGATGATTCATATAATTTGTATCACCTCAATAATAATTGGTATCATCTCTTCTCTCTCACCTATATATTATCTTTTGTATACGTGCTTATAATTGATTTATAGTCTGTCATTGTATCTGCTCTTAGCTAGCTTGATGACCTAGCAGCTTCATCGATTCTTGCGTGTCCTTTTGGATTAGTGTGCATCCAAGCTACGACAATGGCGGCCGCCACCTTCGCCTTTATAAAGCTTACCTTTGCTACCACTCAACCACACCCCCATCCTCACCAACTCACTCCCTTGAAAAGCTAGACACACACACATGGCCAAGCAGCTCGCCCTCGTTCTCCTCGTCGCCGTCGTGGCGGCGGCGGCGACGTCGGTGGCCGCCGCCACCAAGCTGACGCTCCACAACCTGTGCCCGTACCCGGTGTGGCCGCTGGTGACGCCCAACACCGGCTTCCCTTCCATCTCCGGCAACACCGCGCGGCTCGACGGCGGCGGGCGCGGGCTCGTGTCGTACGACTTCCCGGCGAGCTTCTGGGCGGGGCGCGTCGTGGCGCGCACCGGGTGCGGCGGCGGCGGCGGACTGGTGCGGTGCGAGACCGGGAACGCGCCGCCGGCGACGGTGGTGCAGCTGGTGGTGCACTCGCCGGAGGGGGCACAAGACCTGGCCGCGTACAGCGTGAGCTTGGTGGATGGGTTCAACGTCCCGGCGGTGGTGAGCCCGCAGGCCATCGCCGGCGGCGGGCAGTGCCCGGCGCTGGGGTGCGCGGCCGACCTGAACGCCGGGTGCCCGCGGTCGCAGCGCGTCGTCGGCGCCGGCGGCGCCGTCGTGGCGTGCCGGGGCACGGCGGACTACTTCAAGGCGCGGTGCCCGCTGACGAGGACGACGGGGAGCGACGTCGAGCCCGTGCCGCAGCACTGCCTCGCCCCCGGCGAGCTCAAGGTCGTCTTCTGCCAGCCGTCCATGGTCGCCGCCGCCGTGCCGGAGCTCATCCGCACCGTCGTCGCCAACATCTAGCTGTGTGTGAGGTCCTCGTCGTGCACACGTGGCGCGTCCTGCGTGCGCCACGTGTACGGACTAGCTGTGTGTAGAAGTGGGTAGGGGGGAATAATAATGACAGTGCGTATACACGTATGTGTACACCGTATGTCGACTGTACGCGTACGGACGGGCACAGTCTGGTATTAGTGTTGTACGTGTACAATCTACGACGTATTTTGTTTTTTATGTAAGAAAAAAAAATGCTTTGATGTGTTTTTATTGCCACGTACTATATATGTCTGTTTGACGCGAACCGACGATGTAGCAACAACAGTAGATATGCACGTGAACGGGGATGGAAGTTATTGGAAAGATTGTTTGTTTTGTATGGATGTCTGCAGGACAGCAACCAAAGCGTTCCAGTCTATTTTCTCTTATTATCCTGCAGTAAAAACGTAGTTGTTCTCTTTCCATCATTTTCTTCTTTCACACGTACCCCCTCCATCCCATGATATAGGTGATTTTATGTAGATGTGAAGTATCGCAGTACAATAAATTTGGACAAAGATTTGTCACGTCCATCCAAAATTTCTTATATTATGAGACGGAGAGAGTATGTTATTATTGTGCTTTATGATTAATCTATCCATCCATTCAATCCCCAATCGTGAAAAGCACATCCACCCAATCAATCTGTAATTATATATGGATACTAGCAAAATGCCCATGTGTTGCATAAATGCCCATGCGTTATATTGGGTAAAGCAAAAAAAAAAGTAAAAATGGGTGTGTGGGAGTAAAATTCCACCAGATTAAATTGAGCTTCTTATAGTCAAATCGAATCTTTCCAGTGTAAGTAAGACGCTAACATGATATAATTATTTGTTTTTACATATTTCAAAGAGAGTAATAGTACCAGAAATGTTTTTTTTTTGCTAGGTATCAGATCAACCTTATTGCATTCCAATCGCATAATAGCTTTCACTCAAAAAAATTAAAAGGAAATCGTACAATGAATGGAAAGGAAAAAAACTGGTGTATCGCAGAATAGCTTTCACTTCAAAAGAAGAAGAAAATCGTACAATGAATGGAAAAAAAATGATGTGGTTAGATGTCCTACGGCGAATGAGAAATTGACGAGGAAAAAATCTGGATGTAAACACGATTCATTTTGTTGGTGATTATATTTTTTTTAAAAAAGAAAGACATGTGATTGTTTTCTATTTTTTAAAAGTAATTTATTTTGTCGGTAAATAATTCATTTTGTTGGTGATCACATGGTTTTTTTAAAAAAGAAAGACATGTGATTGTTTTTTATTTTTTTAAAAGTAATAAAATTGCTCCTTATTTTTATCCAATTCCTGGTAGGCGTGGATCCAAACTTTATTCAGTATAGTAGCCTTGGGCAAGCCTCCTTTTTTTTTTGAGAACCAAATATATTAAATTTAGAAGCACAGCACATGATTAAGGATTACATCATTAGCCACTTGGGCTATTTGGGTAACTGCCTTAGAAGGACAGTTGGATACTAGCAAGGAATGGGATACATTTTGACAGAGAAATTGAATTGGCAGCTGTCTATTTTGTTATAATTCTATCATTGCTTTTTTTGCTAGAAAATCAGCCATCTTATTCAGATCTCTGGAGCAGGGGAAGCAGACTCCAATGCTGAGGATGAGCAGCAAAATTTCGTTGACGAAGCTGTTTCACAAGTACCTGATTGTCCGAAAGAAAGACCACATCTGTGATCTTAAGTTTTTGACAAATGCAGAGCGCAACATAAATACTAGCATGTTCTGCTTGCAAAGCTGAAGTATAAGTGTCAGAACTGGCCTTTACAAATAAAGCCTTGTGAGATGTTGGGTCATGAAGAAACAGACCAAAACCTGACTTATCATCCTTCCATGAAGCATCAACAAAACATCTTGTTCCAGAAGGAATGGAGATATTTGAATCAGGAGAATTAAAAAAGAGAGAATTATCATCCTGATTTTGAGCTTGTGTTAAGGTGTTATAGTTTGAAGCCATAACATCAGCTGCAATGCAAACTTGAGAAGGCTCCCAGTTTTTTCTTTTGAAGTAGGAACCATTTCTAGCTTTCCAGATAAACCAGAGAAAAATACAAAATTTTTGAAAGCTTTCAGTTTTAGAAGAAGCTGCTAGAATGAAAGAAATAATCTCTGGAACTGAATTCATACTATCAATGATTTGGAAATTCAACTTGAAATCAGAGATCATCCAGGAAAGACGGGCAAATGAGCAATGAAAGAACAGATGAACTGAAGTTTTTGCCGAGTTGCACCTGTGACAGGAATCAAGAATGTCTGGAATTCTAAAATGCAAGTTATTTGCAGTTGGCAAAGCATTACGAATAAGTCTCCACATAAAAGTTTTAACTTTAGGAGGGATCAATTTGTCTGACCAGGTTTTCTTTAAAAGATTGAGATGAAGAGTGGGAATAGCACTTTGAACATGATTCATTTCCTTGAAATGATAATTATAAGCACTTTTAGAAGTGCACTCACCTGAAGAGTTGTGCTTCCAACACAATTTGTCCACACCTTGGTCATTTAGACATTGAATCTTAAGTATAGCCTGAGTAAATCGTCTGCCACGGTCGTCTGCATGAGTCAACGGTCATCTGCCACGTCACGAAAATCGCCCTTCAGGAGGGCGAGGCGGGCAAATAGTTTTGTAAATTTTTGAAATACAAAATTAGTTTTATAAATATTTTAATAAAAAAATAAAAAAAATCCTTTGCTCTGTGGGCTGGCTGCTGGACTGAGTTTGTTTTTTTTGGGCCAACCTGCTGCTGCTTTGGCTGGGCTGCTTGCGCTTTCTCCTGTTTCTCTTTTATCTCCGGAGCATCATAGATCGTCATTAGGCGTCCGGATTCGTGAATTAGCGGCGAAATATCGCGTGGGCCCACGCTTTAACGACGGACAAAAAAAAAATGGAAGACTTACCTATTTTTTAATTAGGTATATATAAGTATAGATATAGATAGATTGATAGATATAGATGTCCCGTTGCAAACACGACTAAACTTCCTCTTCTCCCATTGCGTTCTCGCGTACAACGCGCATACGTAATCACAGATCCAATGTCCTATCCCCTATGCTTATAGCATATCCCAATTTATATAGGTCTGATCCGTTATAATATAGAAACATGTTACTAGTTCTAATAAATATTTATAAAAAATAAAAATAAAGTCCTATATTTAAATATGGAGTTAATCTCTGTTCCAAAATATACCAACTTATAGATTTTTTTTAGATAATGGAATATAATATTCCGGCCTTTGCTAAAAAAAACTACAGCCAATTATTACAAAGATCCACTCCAAAAGAGAGTGTAGTTCAAGACAAGTTGAACACACCAAACAAGAGAAGAGATGACCCAAACTGAGAAAAACAAAATAAAATGTGGAGCTAGAAGGCCTCGTCCAGGCCTAGGACTGAAGTTCGAAGCCAATGTATAGACCAATGACAATATTCTTGCACGAAGAGGTTTCTCCAAAGCGGTGCCCCAAGGAAGATGCGACGTGGATCGCCGCCACCGCTCGTTCGGAACCGAAGCAAGGTTTTCACCTGGAGAATATGGTAGGGAAAGGAAAGGGGTATGCTAAAACAATGCCTCCAAGGAAACTATAGATATTAATTTGGAAATAGGTACAATATTAATTTCTTAGAAAACTTCTTTTAAGTGCATTTTTTGATTTTACAATAATTAATTCATTCGTATGTCTTGACTCTTGACTAGTTATTACAAAAAGGTTTAGTTATGCAGCCATTAAAAAAAATCCCATGGTAGTAAAGGAAAGATCTGTAGAAGGTTGAATGTGGTACGTGGAGGCTGCAATGCCTCAACTACCACAGTACAGAATCACAGCGAAATGAGCGACGCCTCGCAGAGGCTTTGAGAATTTTTTTTCGTTTTTAGATTTTTTTTAATATTTACAGAAATAATCTATCGACAAAAAAATTGCAAAAATAGTCTCTGCCGCCCCAATGGTGGGTGGCAAGCTGACGTGGCAGACGGTGAGTCGACCGCGCCGTCTGCCGCCGTCGGCCAAAATTGCGTCTGAATCTGGCAGGGTTTCGCCCCTTCTTCTCTTCTCCTCCCCTCTCTTCCTTTTTTTTTCACTGGAATTGAGGAGGGAGGAATGAGGGCTGGGGGCTAGGCGGCAGGCCTTTTATAGGCAGCGAGGCTTGCCGCCCGGCCAGAGGGCGGCAAGGGGCCGCCTGCAAAATGACTGGCCCCGACTGGCTTTTTTGCATTCGGGCCCCTTGCCGCCCCACCAGAGGGCGGCAAGGGTTTTCCTGCAAAAAAAACCCTCCCTCCGTCACCGCCCGTTCCTTTTTGCCACGTCAGCTTGCCGCCCCAGAGGTGGGCGGCAGGGTCTATTTTTGTAATTTTTTTGGCCGATAGATTATTTCTGTAAATATTTTTTTAAAAAAATCTAAAACCGAAAAAATTCGAGGCTTTGAAGGTTAGGATGGCCCAAACACAAGCTAAGATACCACTGTTCGAATTGGGCCTCGGATGACATGCAGACGGACGGCCCATCCTTCATTACTTGGGCTAGAACGTGGTGTGGCGTACGACCGGCCCAAACTACATGGGCCGAAGCGACCATCCCTCCAACTATTAAAATTTGGTGCAATACTAGTTTCTCGCCGGTTTTGACTAACGCGACACCTACATAACATGTTGAGTTAGTGTTCGTTTGATATGCCAGCTAGTGGTGCTCACATGTCATTACATTACAGTTATAAAAAAAATTAATAAAAAATAACACCTACATATTAGCAACAGACCGATTAAAAAATTAATAAAATAAATACATAAGGCCCACATGTCGGTGTTTCTTCCCACCCATTCCTAGTCTTCTGGATATTAGAGGGCGGAGATGGTGGGATGACCGCCGATGCCAAATATGCTAAGCTTTGTTATTGTCTCCTTCTGTGGAAAGTTCTACCCAGCCAAGTTATCAGAACAAATCTTGATATGCTTCAAAACATCACCTTTTTGTTACCGTGAGATGTATTGGCTACTATAGATTATTTGATTGGAATGAAATTTGAAACGGATATACTTGACGATGATGATATGAATCACTTGGAAAATAAACGTATTCGTTCGGTTGCGGATCTTATACAAGATCAATTCGGACTATAGCTCCCACTCCGCCACGTCAACAGCCGTGCGTCTCATTTTTTCTGCCTCGAGCCATCCTTCCCTCCCAAGTCAACAAACCGCCATTCCGACGCCGGCCTGCACCTAAACCAGAGGCAGCGACCATTTTGATTCAAAATAGTTGAAATTATAGAAAAGCTATATGAAGATCATGTCAACAAGTGAAATGGGATTAGGTTTTATTCTTTAAACTAAAAGAGATTGAATCAGAGAATAGCAATTAATAGCTACTACTGCAGGAGTCCTGATGGTCCAAATAATAAGCCACGTATATAATCCTTCGAGTTCAGACAAATAATTAAGCCATAACAATTACTAATAAATAAACTAATAGTACAGTCTTGCCCCTTCCTATGCATAATTGCATACTACACATATGTTTTTTTCTTTTCTTTTCCTTCTTCTGAGAGCAATCTTGTAGATTTCCTGCCTCTTGTCGTTCTCTCATTCAGGACCAAATGGAGAAAAGGAAATACTGGATAGTTACCGTAGATTTTTTTTCTCTGTATTTCATTTTTTTTTGGTGAAACTGCAATTGTTACCGTAAATTATAAGGCATATATCGAGTAGCATTCAGCCTCCTCACAGTTCTTATCCACTTATCCTGAATTTCTCGATCGTTCAAAGCTGCACGTGTGGATTTGCAGTTTGTCACCCCCTGCATTGCTTTCAAGAACCTCAGAACTAAAAACTGACACGCGTAGCACGAGTGCACTGTACCGATGAAAGGTTCTCCAGTGAGGACGATGAGAAATATATAGAGAATTAAGACATTATATATCTAAAAAATACATAGAGAATTAAGCATTAATGCTTTGATTTTATCTTCTTAGAGTACCAACTAAGAAGATTCAGTTTGAAATTTAATTTGGGAACGTTGCTAGTACTACCTTCATATTTAAATACACGACTTTATTCTGTCTTAATCTGACCACTATTTATTTTTTTATTAGAATATAAACAAATATCTAACAAAATTATAATATCGTAAAAGTAAAAAAATATATCCATATAATTTTGATGTTTTCAGGCTAACCAATTTAAGAGCTATAATATAATCAAAGTTTCAAATGTTGATCAACTAAAATAAATCCTGTCATATACTCATATTTAAATACGGAAGGGGTACAATGGAGATGGCCCCACTAAAGAACATCTCCTGATTTTACATGTCATTAAAATATTATTAATATCGATCAATGTAATATATCAATTTTATAAATATGCAAGCTTAAATTAGACTATTGCAAGTTGAAGAAAGAAAAACTTTAACTAACACTAAATATGTATTATTCACTATCATGTGTTTATTTGTTTGGCAAATTTTATGGGCCGAACTAATAAACTTGTGTATTTGTGAAGTGATATATCACCTATTGATTTATGTATCAACTTTTTTCATAAATATTTGAATGAGATGCAATAAACGAATAAACATCCTTTTATAAAGATAAAATTAGGCTTTCCCATGTACTACATATCAAATAAAGCCGTTAATTTCAGAAAATTTTCGTGGGCTTTGTCTAGGTAAACTTTTTTATTATGCAAAAGCACTCAAGCTGTTTTATTTAATGATTTTGCATAACTTAAACATGCAAAACCATGAGGATTTCTCACATGTTTTTTTTACTTGCTACATGCTAATCCAAAGCCCCTTTCACTGTCCCATCGCTGCCAAGTGGTTTTGGCTTGTTCTTTCCGAATAATACCATATGCATCCAACCTACTAAAAAACCTAGGAAAACGGCGTCTGCCACGTGTACACCACTCCTCTGTCTATTTAATCACAAGCAAATCAATTAACTCATCCATACTCATCAGTTCATCACAGAGAGAAAAGTTTGCACACAGCTAGCATGGCGAACAAGCTGCAGCTCGCCATCGCGTTCGTCGTCGTCGTCGTCGTCCTCGGCGCCATGGCGGCATCGGCGGCGGCGGCGGTGGCCCCCATGCTGACGATGCACAACCTGTGCCCGTACACGGTGTGGCCGATCGTGTCGCCGGACAGTGGCTCGCCGCCCATCGCCGACGGGATACGGCTGGAGGGCCGCGGCGTCGGGCTGAGGTCGCTCAACCTCCCGGCGGGGTTCTGGTCGGGGCGCGTCGTGCCGCGCACATGGTGCAGGGACGGCGGGCGGTGCGACACCGGGAACGCGCCGCCGGCGACGGTGGTGAGGCTGTCGTTCAACGGCGCCGGCGGGCTGGCGGAGTACAGCGTCAACCTCGGGGAAGGGTTCAACGTGCCGACGGTGGTGAGCCCGCACGCCATCGGCGGCGGGATGTGCCCGGCGCTGGGCTGCACGGCCGACCTCAACGCCGGGTGCGCGGCGGGGCAGCGCGTGTACGGCGGCGACACCGGCGGCGACGTCGTGGCGTGCAGGGGGCCGGCGAGCTACTTCAAGCAGCGGTGCCCGCTGACGAGGACGGGCGGGGGCGACGTGGAGCCCGTGCCGCAGCACTGCATCTCCCCCGGCGAGATCAAGCTCGTCTTCTGCCAGGCCGCCATGGTCGCCGGCGAGCCGGAGCTCATCCGCACCGTCGACGTCGCCGACAACTAGCTAGCCTAGCCGGCCGGTCCGTTAATTAATTACGTGTGTTTTAATTAGTGCGTGTTTAACTAGTTAATCAGATCATCAAGCAGTTAAATAATTAATTAATTACTCCGGTTGGCCCGCGCTAACTGCTAATAAGTGCACATGGAATAACAAAGGCGGGGTACGTACATATGTACGTACCCTTATGTTTGTACGTGCGCATATACGTGTTTTAATTACTCTAGTATTGTATACATACTTGTGTACGTACGTCTACATCGTATATTCGTATTGTGTTTTTGTGTAACTCGATCTAGTAATCCAACAGTATGTATCCGTCCATAGTGATATTACCTACTACTACCTCTGCTTATTAATTAATCTCATCATGACAATATATCAACTTCTTTTCATCCCTGCTACTCCCTCTGTTTCAAAATAAACGCAGCCATAAGTTTACATGTCCAACTTTAATCATTCGTCTTATTTAAATTTTTTTTGAGAAAAATAAAAACATAAGTCACGCATAAAGTACTATTTACTCCCTCCGTTTCACAATGTAAATCATTCTAGCATTTCTCACATTCATATTGATGTTAATGAATCTAATATATATATATATATATATATATATATATATATATATATATATATATATACACATAGTAAATTTGTTTGGTGCTCCATGGTGCCCGGGCACCATTGTTGAAATTGAGTATATACCCAATTTAAATGAGTATGAAACTTTTTCAATTACTTAGGTATTAACATTAATTACTTTACTAACTAGTTCAAAGCAAGTTTGAACTGAATTTGAACTTGATTTTGTTAGATTTTGATTCTAGGTATATAGCATCCATACATATAATTAGTTAGGTATGTAATCATGGATTGTGAAATAAAGTTAAATTTGAGTTGTTTTGTTGATAGGTATAGGTATGAATCGAATTATTATAACTAGGTATATATTCATAATTTGAAAATTTTGAGTGATTTTGTGTATTATTAGATACCATGGTGCCCGGGCACCATGGTGCCCCATATATATATATATATATATATATATATATATATATATATATATATATATATATATATATATATATATATTCATTAACACTAATATGAATGTGAGAAATGCTAGAATGAATTATATCGTGAAACGGAGGAAATATGTTTTATAATCTAATAACAATAAAAATACTAATCATAAAAAAAATTTTAAATTAGACGGACGATTAAAGTTTGATACGGAAATTTATGGTTGCGCTTATCTAAATTGGAGTAATATTTTTGAGTGTATTGTTTTCTTTGACCATCACTAGCTTCTAAATTATTATTTTTTGAACAAACTAATTAAAGCCATTTGGACTATATGACAAGCACCGCATTTCATCCACGTGGCACACTTTTAAATATATCAAATTTCGCAAATACTATTATCATAATAAATATCAAGACTTCGGTCTCTAACAAGCTTTTGCTCCAGAAGCCTGTAGCGGCCGTGAGTTCTCCTTTTCCACCTTCCTCCTTGACCCCTCTTCCTCCTCGGTTTCGGCGGCTCGTCGCGAACAACAGCAGGAATAGGGATCAACCCTCGTCTAAGGTATGATTTTTCGTGTAACTTGGCTTAATTTCATTTTCTCTTAGTTCTTGTGATACAGTCCGAAATGGTCGTCGGCGCCAACTCGATCTCTGTCCTGGTGTTACGAGGTAATTCCTCCGTTTCACAACGTAATTCGTTCTAACATTTTCCATATTCATATTGATACTAATAAATTTAGATAAATATATATGTCTAGATTAATTAGCATCAATATGAATATAGGAAATGTTAGAATGATTTATATTGTGAAACAGAGGGAGTAGTTGTCAGAGGTTTAAGATAGTTGTTTTGTTTTTAGTGAGGCCCGAGATTTATCTCTGGTCAGTCACTTTAAGCACGTGCTAATAGACAGACATATTTCTGGGTTTGCCTGCATAATTGAAAACAAAAGAACACGGATTATCTAGACGATTAACATGTTCCCTAACTTGATTATTTATTCATCCATTTTTAAGGCAGGAATCAGATCAGCGTGGACAACCTAGCTCATGTGTATCTAGTTTATCAGAACTGAAATGAAATAGCCCAAGTTAGCCCAATTTGATGGTTCGTAAGCCCATCTTCTGCTCGCTTCGTTGCTAGGCCGTTTCTGTCCTGCCACGTACTTTCAGGCCCAAATACGGAGCCCAGTTTGTTGGTTGGATCAGTTAGGCTTTGTAGCTGGCTATGCGCCAACCTTTGTATGATTTCACGTATGTAGTTTAAATCACTTAAATTGAGCTACACTTTATAAACACTAGTTTTTCATAATAGTATTTAGAAGTGTATCTAAAATCTGAATACCGACGAGTATAGATAGTAATTTACCCGTGCTAATGCCACGACAATATTTGTTAACAAAGACCCCCCCCAAAAAAAATACACATAGCTAGAAAATAGATAAATTTATAAAGCTAGGTGTGTAATATAACATCACATATACCTTCTTTTACTATGCAATTTGCATACAAATACTTTCGGCCAATCTCAATTTTTTCCCCTTCAGAATGAAACTACCAGAACTTTACATCTAACCATCTTACAAATCTGTCTCCACCTGTATAACTAGCTAATTAAGTCGCGCTTTCGCGCGACATGACCTATCCTTTTTTATATATGATAATTAGAACTAAGGGCATGTTTAGATTACTGCCAAAATAAACTTTTCCAAAATTTGGCAATATCAATTTTTTGGCAAGTTGATAGTATTGTCAAATTTTGATAGAATGTGATAAATATGATGTTACCAAAATTTGCCTAGTGTGTGAAATTTATCGTAAATATTTATATTAGCACCTCTTCTCAACTTTATATATATATTATTAGCATGTATATATTTTAATTATTAATCCAAGTAATTTTTGAAAATTTATTTTAAAGCATTAACTTCTTAACATTTGAAGAACCTCGTTCTGTATTATTGAAAGGGACCATACCACGCTTGGAAAAAAACATTAGTTTTTTTTCTAATATTATTTTTGGAGTTTAATTCCAAGTTTTTTTATGCTTTCAGTATTAAAAAACAATTTTTCTATATATGCCCCTCTTTAGATTGTAAATGGACCGTAATTGGTCGCGTCGAAAAAAAAAATCGTCCTCCATTTTCGTGTGTGGATCCTTAAGAGGACTACACAGAAAAATTAATTTTCACAAATGGACCACTTAAGTGGACTGCACACGAAAATAAACGTATTTTCATAAACGGGCCTCTTAAGTGGACCGAATGTAAAAATATAGTTTTTTTTATCCCAACCCTTTCAATCTTTTTCCTCTCACTTAATCCCTCCTCTGTATCTCTATCTTTTCCTTCTCTCATTTCCCTTTTTATTTTACTTAATCCCTCCTCTCTCTCTCTCTGCCTTTCCTTTCCTCCCCTTCGAGCGCGTGGGGCACGGGAGGCGGTGGCGGCGCGGCCGGGAGCGGACGGGAGGCGGCGCGGCGGCTGGTGATGACCGGAGGTGGAGCGGGCGGGAAGCGGCGGCGGTGCCGGCTGAAACGGCGCGGCGGCTGGCGACGGCGACGAGGAGGAGGAGGCGGCCCGCTGCCAGGAGCGGCGCCTTCCTCTCCACGCGCGGCGGCTGCGGATTTGGTGGTGGGGGATGCGGGCGGCGGCGGGCTCAGGAGCGGCGGTGGCGGCCGGTCGCGGCGGAGGCGGTATCGGAAGCGGCGGCGAGCGGCTCGGCGGACGGCGGCGTCGGGCGCGACGGCGGCCGCGCGTGGAAGGCGGCGAGGGGCGACGGCGACCTGCCCCCGCCCGGATCCGGCGGAGGCGGCTGCCCCCTGCCCGGATCTGGCGGCGGCAGCCGTCCCTCGCCAGCATCCGGCGACGGTGGCAGCGGGCGGCGGCGGCGACGTCACCGACCACGAGGAGGGCTGCGGCGGCAGCTTCTAGGGTTTTTTTTAATCTGCCCTCTATATTTCTAACCATCCAATCGAAATCCAACGGCTCAGGTTTTCTTGCATACGTGGCACAATCACAGACCGAATAAACATCCTGCGTTCATTGATGATGATGATGATGATGATTACATCCTTCACCCTTGCCGTTTGGAACGTACCAGAATATATGAGTTTACCCTGAACAGTGAACACTTGCTGCATAGTAGTATTATCCCTGCATGAGAAATGACCAATCAAAGTATTTATGTGATTTCTCTTAAAAAAAAGTAGTATTAACGAAAGATATCCTCACAAAGAGAAAATAGAGGGGGAACAAGCAATGTTGTTGCAATGTTGTTTTTTATACACAAGAGATCATTCAACATATTTTCTTTTTTTGTCATGTTGCACGTTTTGCTTAGCGATGTGTCCTTTTTGTCTTTAATATTCCCCCTTCCCGCAATGCAAAAGTTATTTTGGGTAATTGGCTAAGGGGAGTGTCTAGGCTCACAAAAAAATTGATTTTATTTGGAGCTACTACGCTTTGTTGGTCAATCTGACGTTGCCATAATGATAGAGTTTTTAGCCATAAGAAATTGCCTACCATTATGCGGGTTATCTTCATGGGTTCCAATTGCTCCATTCTTGATGTATGATGCTTTCATATAAACAACATGATACTATGCGTATTGGTGCTACACGCTTGGAATTGGTAGCCAGGGAGCTTTTATTCCAATTTGTATGACGTAGAACCTATTGAATTTCGTGCTAGAATATATGTAATTTTGAAAACGTTATTTCAATCAACCCTTTTATTGGCGGAAGTTGGGGCTTTATCCCATCATGTCTATTTTAAATTATTCTGAAACTTGTTGACTGTGTGCTTCCATTTTATCTGACAAAAATGAAAAATGCAGTCAGAGACGACATGACACGAGACTTGTACAATGCATATAAAACTTCGGAAAAAGTCCACTTTGACTCCCTTAATTGTACGCCGAATCTAATTCGTACCCCTCAACCAGAAAACCGGATAGGACGACTCCCCGAACTATTGAAACCAGTGCAATTTGACTCCTTCTGCGGTTTTGCTGATGTGACGCTGATATTGCGGTGTTGACCCGATCTTCGTCCCACGTGACGCTTATATGGCATTAGAATTAAAAAATATCAGTGGGACCCATATGTCATTCACAGCAAAAAAAAATACCGTGGGACCGACTGACATGTAGGGTCCATATGTCATCCTCTCTCCTTCCCGGCGGAGACGGCGGCGGTGGGCAAGAGGCGGGGGATCCAGGCGACATTGTTGCTGGAACTACGCCCATGACGGCTTCGCCGACTCCGCCCCCACCCTACCCCGCGCCCGACCCCTCTCTTCCTCTCGGACGCAACGCCGGACGACGATGACGACATGGAGATAGCGAGGCGGAGCTGGAGGGGTGGCGGACGCTCCAGCGCCCGCCTCCCGTACGCCGCCGATCTGACTCTGGTCCCGCCCGTACGCCGTCGTCGCCACTCCGGCCCCCGTCTGTCGCCGCCGCCGATCCAACTCCCGCTCCCTGCGTGCGTACGGAGGGGGAGAGAAAAGAGAGAGAAGGGAGAGAGAGGGAGGAGGAAGAAGGGAAGAAGGATGACATGTGGGCCCCTACGCATCAGTGGGTCCCACAATATATTTTGTGTGTGTGAATGACAGATGTGTCTTACAGACATTTTTTCAATTCTAATGCTACATAAGTATCACGTGGGATGAAGATCGGGTCAACACCGTTGAGGGAGTCAAATTGCACTGGTTTCAATAGTTCGGGGAGTCGTCTTATCCGGTTTTCTTCTTGAGGGGTACGAATTAGATTCGGCGTAATTAAGAGAGTCATAGTGGACTTTTTCTTAAAACTTCCTACGCAATTTGCTTCGCTAATTTCGCACAGGTCATAGGCTAGCAGCCCATATAGGAAAGCCCAACGTTGGCCCATTTCTCTCGTGTGTGTACATCTATATATATTGAGAAGAAAACCTAGCTAGGTCACTCAAGTCCTCCCATCCAGCAGCTCAGCCGCCACAAGCCATGGCCGATGCGAGCTCGGCCGCCGTCGCTGCCCCCAAGCCCCAACTGGCCGCCGGCACTTGAGCACCAAGCAGGGCCAGCTCGACGACGCCGTCGCCGCCCGCCACCAAGCTCGAACAGATCAGCTCCAGCAATGTTCAATCCAACGACTTTTGCATTGATTGATTGATTTTCTCTGCTCGTGTGATTGTGTGATTGGAATCGACTAGCTTGAACCAATTGATAGTATCCCTGTGCTGTGCGTGCATTGCATGTGTACATATTACCAAATCTCTGTTGCATATGGATCCACTCTTGGATATCGGTTTTCGCTTGAATGCCGTTTTCTTCTGTTATTTTGTTGTTCCTTTTTTTAAGCTATAAAACCCAACCTTCTCTTTATGATCTGTTTGTTTTCAATATTGTAATTTTTTTTCTGGAATTTGTTGTTAATTATAACCTTTTCATTATCTCCTGAGCTAGCAGATTGATGATGAAACAATTTCTCCAAGCGTTTGTTACGCTGACATCCATATATGATGGAGGGCTATGTTACCATAGCCTTCATAGTTTTCAATCTGAACCATCTGCTGCTCAATCATTTTCCCCAGATTTTTTTTACAGCGATTGTTTCTCCATTGCTAACTGTTCTGTATTGATTTGGGATTCAAATTCCTTTCATGGTTTTTGCTCGTTTTCTTTACAATCTCATTCATTTGTCTGTGCAACATTTGGGAAAAATTGGGAGAAGTGATGATATTATATCCATACCACATTTCTGCATTCACTATGATGATCATTAACTTCATGCACTACCATCTGATCTCCCACTACACATAATAAAGTTATGGTACAAGGTATATAAATTGAAGTTGTGCAATGATGGACTGATTTTCATTTACACGCTGAATTTATTTTGTTAATTAATGTGCAATCTGTGATGCAAATAATCCCATTTGCTGAATCACTGTGATTATTGCAATCAAAATCACCATCTTTCGGCTGAGATTGCACATTGTTATTCTGCAAAATTTATCTTTGTTTTAAATTAAGGTTTATGCCATTTGGTATCTGACACATAATCATTTCTCTGATTATGTGTCTCGAAACATGGCAGAAAGTGAGGGGGAACGGTCCTTGCGACACTGGTTGCTACTATATGAGCTTCTAGTTACTATATACCCGTTTACATTTCCTTGCTTTTTTAGTATTTCTGTTTAACTTTTGTCATGCCTATGTGTTGTGATGCATTAGTTTTGTACTGTGGAGATTGTACCCCTGTCAAACCACTTAATGAAATTACAGATAATTATTAGACTGAAAATGCCGTCTTTTGGCTGAATCACTCTGATCAATCAAAATCACCATATTTCAGCTGAGATTGCACATTGTTGTTACGCGAAACAATTTTATCTTTGTTTTAAATTAAGGTTCAGCCATTTGGTATCTGACACATAATCATTTCTCTGATTACATGTCTCGAAACATGGCAGAAAGTAAGGGGGAACGGTCCTTGCGATGCTGGTTGCTGCTATATGAGCTTCTAGTTACTATATACCCGTTTACATATCCTTTGCTTTCTTAGTATTTCTGTTTGGCTTTATTCATTAGTTATGCCTATGTGTTGTAATGCATTAGTTTTGTACTGTGGAGATTGTATGTCTATCAAACTACTTAATGAAGTTACAGATAAATATTAGACTGAAAGTCTAAAATCACTGTAGCATATTGGGCTAAAAGGTATAGTTTGTTTACTTGGAATCTCTCGAAAGTTTGTTTGATTGCTGAATTTGTGCTCCAGTTTGTTTGCTGTTTCTTACATGAAGCATTACCTGTCCTGATGTTATTTATCACTTATGAGATTTGTGTATGCAGTTTCCATTTTTTCAGTGCCTGTTATGCAGATGCCAAGCGTCTCATTGGCCGGAGATTTACTGATGCTTCTGTCCAGAGTGATATTAAGCTCTGGCCCTTCAAGGTCATTGCTGGACCTGGTGACAAGTCAACGATTGTGGTTCAGTACAAGGGTGAAGAGAAGCAGGTTGCAGCTGAGGTAATATTCAAATTGTTTCTGTGATGGCTACTTAGGATTTATGCTATGATTTTAACTTGCATTGTTGTAATGATGTTGTTAAAGTAAACAAGTAACGGTAGCAAGTTTGCTTATCAGCTTGTTGTTTTTCAGTTTTTCCTGTGAGCCTATCTTTTCGTTCTTTTCCATTATAAAAACCCATCTCTCTTTATGGTCTGTTTGTTTTCTATGTTATAAATGTTTTTCTGTAATTTGTTGACCTTTTCATTAAATCTTGAGCTAGCAGATTGATGATGAAACAATTTCTCCAAGCGTTTGTTACGCTGATCCATATGATGGAGGGCTATGGTAACATAGCCTTCATAGTTTTCAATCTGAACCATCTGCTGGTCAATCATTTTCCCCAGATTTTTTTACAGCGATTGTTTCTCCATGCATACAGTTCTGTATTGATTTGGGATTGTACTAACACTTAGCATAACATACATTAATGAATTCCTTTCAAATTAAGATTTCTATTATAGTGCTATTCAAATTCCTTATATGATTTTTGCTCGTTTTCTTTACAAAATCTCATTCAATTTTCTGTGCAACGTTTGGGAAAAAAGTATTATTTGGGAGAAGTGATGATATTATATCCATACCACATTTCTGCATTTGCTATGATGATCATTAAATTCATGCACTACCATCTGATCTCCCACTACACATGATAAAGTTATTGTTACAAGGCTATATAAATTGAAGTTATGCAATGCTGGACTGATTTTCATTTACAAGCTGAATTTATTTTGTTAGTGTGCAATCTGTGATGCAAATAATCCCATTTGCTGAATCACTGTGATTATTGCAATAAAAATCACCATCTTTTGGCTGAGATTGCACATTGTTCTGCAAAACATTTTTATATTTGTTTTAAATTAAGGTTCATGCCATTTGGTATCTGACACATAATCATTTATCTGATTATGCGTCTCGAAACATGGCAGAAAGCGAGGGGGAACGGTCCTTGCGACACTGGTTGCTGCTATATGAGCTTCTAGTTACTATATACCCGTTTACATATCCCTTGCTTTCTTAGTATTTCTGTTTGGCTTTATTCATTAGTTATGCCTATGTGTTGTGATACATAGTTTTGTACTGTGGAGATTGTACGTCTGTCAAACTACTTAATGAAATTACAGATTATTGGACCGAAAGTCTGAAACTACTATAGTATATTAGACTAAGGTTATATAGTTTGTTTACTTGGAATTGCTCCAAAGTTTGTCTGATTGCTGAATTTGTACTCCGTTTGTTTGCTGTTTTTCGCATGAAACATTACCAGTCCTGAAGATATTTATCATACATGAGGTTTGTGTATGCAGTTTCTGATTTTTTAGTGCCTCTTATGCAGATGCCAAGCGTCTCATCGGCCAGAGATTTACTGATGCTTCTGTCCAGAGTGATATTATGCTCTGGCCCTTCAAGGTCATCGCTGGACCTGGTGACAAGTCAATGATTGTGGTCCAGTACAAGGGTGAAGAGAAGCAGTTTGCAGCTGAGGAGATCTCTTCTATGGTCCTCATCAAGATGCGTGAGATTGCTGAAGCTTACCTTGGCACCACCATAAAAAAAGCTGTCGTAACAGTTCCTGCTTACTTCAACTACTCACAGAGGCAGGCTACCAAGGACGCTAGGGTCATTGCTGGCCTCAATGTCATGCGTATCATCAATGAGCCTACTGCTGCTGCCATTGCCTATGGTCTTGACAAGAAGGCTTCCAGTGTTGGTGAGAAGAACGTCCTCATCTTCGACCTTGGTGGTGGTACCTTTGATGTCTCTCTTCTCACCATTGAGGAGGGAGGTCAAGGCCACAGCTGGTGACACGCATCTTGGTGGTGAGGACTTTGACAACAGAATGGTGAAGCACTTTGTTCAGGAGTTCAAGAGGAAGAGCAAGAAGGACATCACTGGCAACCCAAGGCCTGTCGGGAGGCTGAGGACAGCTTGTGAGTGGGCGAAGAGGACTCTCTCCCCTCCACTTCCCAGACCACCCACCATTGAGATTGACTCCCTGTACGAGGGCATCGACTTCTACTCGAACATCACCTGCGCCAGGTTCGAGGAGCTGACCATGGATCTCTTCAGGAAGTGCATGAGGGGATACCAAGATGGACAAAGAGCAGCGTGCACGATGTTCATCCTTGTTGGTGGCTCCACCAGGATTCCCAGAGTGCAGCAGCTCCTCCAGGACTTCTTCAATGGCAAGGAGCTCTGCAAGAACATCAACCCTGATGAGGCCGTCGCCTATGGCGCCGCTGTCCAGGCCCCCATCTTGGTCTGGAGACGGCCAGAGGAGTGATGACCTAGAAGGAGCAGGCCGGTCTTCTCCACCTACTCCGACAACCGGCCTGGTGTGTTGATCCAGGTGTACGAGGGCGATGGGAGAGGACCATGACACCATTGAGTAAGTGAGGAGATCGAGAAGATGGTCCAGGACGCGGAGAAGTACAAGTCGGAGGACGATGAGCTACATCGAAGAACATGCACAAACACCATCAAGGTCCGAGCACCCACGCGGCGGCCAAGAAGATGGGAGGACGCGGTGGGAGATTGAGCCAAGATGGACGAGGACGTGCCGTTAAATTTTGGCTGATCATGGTGGTTAAATTTTGGCTACGTTGTAATGAAAAATGCATTGGTTGCTTCGTTAAAGTAATAGTACTACAATTGTTCTGTTTCGGTTCATCCGCATTTGCCTTTTGATTTTTGTTTAGCTGCTACTTAAATCGCGTTTATTTTGCATACAGTATCTATCTGTCTTCTCCAAAGCGTTGGGGTGTGCTTTTCTTCCCCGGTGGTATTCACTATTCAGAGTCTTTTGTCGTCGTGTCTGCTCTAATATGCCATCCATTGTAGGGAGTGGATTACGTCCCCCCATCGTGTATCTTTTTCTTTCAAAATCAATGCAAATAGTTGTTAAAAATTCTGAAAAATATTGACAATGTAGAGTACAATTATATCTAATAGAAATCGATGCAAATAGTTGTTAAAAATTCTGAAAAATATTGATAATGTAGAGTACAATTATATCTAATAGTCCACAAAAAATAAAGTTTAAATTCGACCTATACATCGAGAACCAAAAAAGACAAATTCAGATATTAACAATGTGCTACTATTTATACGTTGAATTTGTCTTTTTCATATCTCGATGTGTGAGTTGAATTTGGACTTAAGATAATTTGTCTTTTTCATATCTCGATGTGTGAGTTGAATTTGGACTTAAGATTTTGTGAAGTTGTATAGATATGTTGTATAAGTGTTGTCAAATTTTTCCAGAATTTTTCATAACAGTTTAGATGATTTTTAAACAAACGAGGGGACATCACCTCGAGGGATCAAACGAGAGGACATCCCCTCGAGGGATCCAAATAGTTTCCCATCCATTGTACTAACCTCCGTCCCAAGAGATAAAAAAGGTTTTTTTTTCTATTTGTACTGCTAAAATTGTTCATATTTTAAGATTTTTTTTATATATTTTGAGTTGGAGGGACATAAAAATACATAGTATAAACTATAAAGTGGTTTGACCGGGTGTTTTGAATGGTCATTGCTGGATTGTGCTTCCTTGGTGTGGAAGCATATGAGCAAACGACGAGCAGATCTGATGTCGTCTTCCATTGCATATCTCGTCTGAACATGAATCGTCATTCAGACTTGAGAGGTAGAGCATAGTGAGAGAGAGAGAGAGAGAGAGAGAGAGAGAGAGAGAGAGAGAGAGAGAGAGAGGCGTGAGGCATGCAAAGCAAAGCTTTTCCGTGGATCCGTCCGGGCAGAGGCGGTCGCCCGCTTTACCCACCCCCACCCGGGATCTGCATGCAGACGCCGGCAGCGGCCAAAGCTGCACCCCATGCTGATGCTGCTTCCGGTGGTGCCGGGGCCGGCCGGAGTCGTGAGTCACGGCCGCCTCGGTGGCCGCGCCACCTCCGTCTCTATCTCTACCTATGTACCCGTTACTTGTATTCTCCCCATCCCAAAATATAAAAAATTAAGACGGAATGAAATGTTTTCTTGTATAACGTATTTGGACGTACTTTTTATCAAAAACATTGTATTAGAAAATGTCCTATTCAATCCAATACTAGATTCTTATATTTTGTGACGGGGATAGTACCATAGTACTACTATACTACTTAATCTGTTTCAAAATATAGGTTATCTAGTATTAGAGACCAGTTCTCTTAAGATTCTACAAAATTTTGGCCCAAAATGCATTTAAGCAAACAAAGCCAATACAAAATTTGGTAATTACCATAAATAGCTTGTTCACTTTGTTGCCCAAATATTGATTTGGGCAACAAAGTGAACAAGCTATAGATTTAACATCATCTAGTATTGCGAATCAGATTGGTCTCATGTTTAGATTTATAGTCCTAGACGATTAAATCCAGTACCCTTTTCGTCTTAAAATATTGCAAAGGTTATATTCAGATTACCCATCCTAGATTGTACTAACATTACTCCATCCATTCAAAAGTAAACCAAGTAAACAACGTAAGACATGATGAGACATTATCTAGTACAACATATTTGGCATATTTTTTGAATAGATTTATTATACTAAATAATATCATTTACTGTATTGATTTATTTTGAGTCTGAGGGAGTATAACGTAGTACTACCAATCCCGACATTGGTATGGCATGGCGTCACATGGGAAGCACCCCCACCTCACCTGGAGGAGGCAGGGAGCGTCGTCGCCTACCTCCGGTCTCGCCATGCTACCTTTTGCCGCTTTTTCTCCCCGGCAGCTTAGCTCAGCTCGGCAGGTTCGGTCTTGCTTGCCATCTTTCACTCTTTGACCACCCATATAACTACTATATTTACATATAAATCCCTTTTTTAGTAGTATACTTTTATATGATATTTTTTAGGCTGTGTTCGGTTGGTAGTGTTGGAAACTAATCCCTCAAACACACAAAACGAAGTGATTCATTAGCGTATGATTAATTGAATATTACTCCCTTCGTCCCAAAATATAAGAACCTAGGACTACTGTCCAGATACGTTGTACTAGGAAATATCCCATCCAGTACTAGGTTTTTATAGAGTAAAGTCCATCACCGGTCCCTAAACTTGTACCGCTGTGTCATCCCGGTCCCTAAACTCGCAAATCGACCATTCAAGTCCTCAAACTTGTTCGACTGTGTCATCCCGGTCCCTAAACTTGCAGAACACTCATTTAGGTCTTCCAACTTATTCAGTTGTGTCACCCCGGTCTCTAAACTTGGATTTGAATATCATCTGGGTCAAATAGGACGGTCTAAAGACTTTATATTTAAAAATAATTCATAACTTTTTCATGTGAACTCTAATGAAGACAAATTTTATATCAAACTTGTAGCCCTCTACAACTTTGTAGTTGATTTTTTTATTGTAAGTGATTTTTTGTCCCAAAATGTAATTTTAAAATTAAAATTTCAAAATATATAAACATGCAACAATATTTTTGGACCCTAAACAGTTTTAATTCAAAAACTTTTCAACTACAAAGTTGTAGGTCGCGTCAATGGCTACAACTTTGATACAAAGTTTGTCTTCATTAGAGTTCACATGAAAAAGTTATGAATTATTTTTAAATATAAAGTCTTTAGACCGTCCTATTTGACCTAGATGATATTTAAATCCAAGTTTAGGGACCGGGGTGACACAACTGAACAAGTTGGAGGGCCTAAACGAGTGTTCTGCAAGTTTAGGGACCGGAATGACACAACGGTATAAGTTTAGGGACCGGTGATGGACTTTACTCGTTTTTATATTTTGGGACGAAGGGAGTAGCTTTTTTCTAAGAAGGATTAATATGATTTTTAAAACAACTTTCGCATAGAATTTTTTTCTAAAAAACAAACCATTTAGTAGTTTGAAAATCGTGCATGTGGAAAACGAGAGATATGAGTTGGGAACCTTAGCAAAAGAACTCAGCCTAGTTTTTTTTAACTAACAGAGACATATGGCTACATGGTTGCTGTCAGGGTTATGGATACCACATACCTAATAGTAATTGACTAAATCTCGGTAGGACCCACCACATACCATGTCCTATACGGAAACAACCTGCGGATATAGGATGAGTTCCGCACAAGGAAGGATGACCAGAGTTCTACATGGAAACGACAAGAACTACTCGGATTGTATCCATATTGGTTTTCCTAGTTTTACTTGGACAAGGGGACACCTATGGGTATATGACGGAGCGTGGGGCTCCTCACCGGGAGACCGCGCAGGCCCCCCTTTGCCGGTTCGGCCGGGGGCCCTGGGTGAGATTCTAAGCTCCTAGTCTGTGGAAAATTCGCGAGAATGGAAAAAGCACAAGACACGGGCGATGTATACAGGTTCGGGCCGCTGAGAAGCGTAATACCCTACTCCTGTGTTCTGGTGGGTCTGTATATGAAGAAGCTACAAAAGAGCTGGAGAACCAGAGAGCTCTTACTCTCTCCCTCTCCGATCGTTCTGGATCCGACCCAAAAAAATCCCCTTCTAAGTGGGCAAGGTCCTCCTTTTATACCTCAAGGGGATACCACATGCACCACTTCTCCCTCTCTCTCTTTTTGGGTGGGGGCCCATCCTATCTATAGTAAAACTTGGCTTGCCTTCTCTTGGAAGCTGAAACAATGCCTGTTTTTGAGTGTGGCCACGCGTCCTCGTTCGTCTGACCTCGGGGATCACCCTGTCATCTCTTCATAAATGGGCGGAGATTTGCAATGGCTGCTGCCCGAGTGACCCTTCTGATGGGACGGCCCATACCTACCTCCACTCCGCCAGAAGCAGGTGCAACGTGGGAACACGGTTGTCTTCCGGCGACATAACCAGTGTCAGACCAGTCACAGACCGGTCACCTTTGTCCACCACGTGTCAGTTTAGCAATCTGCATGTTCGCCCTTCTTCATACAACGTCTTGCTTATAATGGTTGGGATAAAGCCTGGCATATATCTGACCAGGACCAACGTGCCATCTCCAGGAGCTAGCACGCTGGCTCCGGCTAGGGACGAGTGCCTAGAGACTCTCATCCTGACGGGACGGGGCGAGGTGTGCGTCAGACCGCCTGTCGCCACCTAACCCACGATCTGATCGGTATGTGACTGGTCACTGACCGGATAAACGAGCGCGCTGCACTGCGTTACATGAGGCGTGACGCGCTCGTCCAAACCGCAATAAATGTGGTTAGGTGAGCCCCGCTATGCTCACCTACCCCATATACGCGGCGCAAAACCCACAAGGGGTCGGGGCGCCTCGGCCCTCGGGGCCGAGACGGAAGCGGTCCGACCCCTCGGGGAGACAAAGAGAAGGGCGGCCGTATCACCCTCGGGCCCGCCCCCCCCGAGGGGGTTAGGCCACGTGGGTGATCGTGTCTGCCTCAAGTCTCTAAGTCATGATACTCCCGGTCCCATGTCACCGACAGTATAAATAAAAGACCCCCTAGGAGGAGAGGGGAGACAACCAATACAATCAAGACCCACCACAATCAACATACACGGACAACATACAAGCTTACATACGCCAAGACAAGCTGCCAGATATCGACATCAGAGATATGCCTGGATCGACCCTATCTGGTACCGCCGGCCGTTGGGATCTAGCGCTGTCTCTGATCTCGCCGGACACGGATTCGAGGAGGAAGACTACCCTGTTGTCGACTACGAGTCGGACCTTCAGACCGTCATGTCAACAACAGTTAGATAGGCTACCCCAAATATTGTGCTTGTGTGATTATGGTGAATAAGAGCAACGACCGGCTTCGGCCAACAGGATGTAGGGTTATTACCTGACAATTCAGGGGCCCGAACCTGTATAAAAATCCTCGC